GTTCATAGTTATATTTCCATATAAGCTTTATTTTTTATTTTGTATTTTTAACTTACCTTGAAGTCTTATACAAATTTGTGTCCTTATAAATTCTCTTATAAAGCACTCTGGGGGAAGGTACAAGGGGTTTGCTTTCTACTATAAGATATTTTTTCATCTGCCATTTGCATACTACATTTTTTTCCCTATTAGTTTTAATCATTTTTTGCTGACGTATATTGTCCCTTGTTTTTTATACTTTTTTTTCCTGTTTCTTAATTTACTGATACTTAACATGTAAAGATTTGTCTAAACGTATTTATGCGATTACAATGTAGCTAAATTCCCCTTTCCTCCACCTCCATCCTTTCCCCTCATTTTATGAGTGACACTGCAAAGGTCAGCAAATATGGCGTGTACTACAAATTGGCCCATCTCCTATTTTTGTAAATAATTTTATTGAAACCAAACCACATTTCTTCATTACGTAGTGTCAGTGGCTGCTTTCCTGGTGCAATAGCAGAGCTGGGTAGCTGTGACAGAGATCACATGGCTTGGGATATCTAAATATTTACTATCTGGTGCTTTATAGAAAAGGTTTGCTGACCCCTGAGGCACAGAGGAGGAAGCATCTATAGCCTGAGGGCATGGGGTGGGCCGAGTAAAGGATTGGAAGAAATTTTTCTCAGCTAGGCCTGTGTGCAGCCTCTATTGGCCAAACTAGGCTCTGTTCTCTCTTGCACTTTTATTAAAGGTCTTCATCTGGGTTAACTTCATAATGTCTGGGATATCCCTTTACATCCAGGGATAAACTTGGGCTTCAGATTCCTCCTCAATTTCTACTTGGATTTGGGCATCTGGAACTTTTGCCACTTCTAAGGAGAGGCAGTAATACAAGAGGTCTTACCTTGTGTTCAGGCATCAGTTGTTTCTACTTTAAAATTGCTGACAGGTATGTGATAGGTGGGGTTGACTCACTTCTTGAGCACCTTTAAGACAAGGAGGACTTTTCCTGGGCTGTCCCTAAGGCTCAGCCTCTCCCTGCTCCTGCAACTGCCTCAAATCAATTTTTTATGTCTGAAGGGATGGGCTTCCTATTTTTATAAAGATTTCTGTGTCACCAACTCTCCTTTGGTAAGATTTTTCAGGTTTTTGTTTTCCTCAGTTCTCCCTCTTAAAGAGTATTAAGAAAGTCAGTAGTAGGAGCTTTCTAGAGCCCACACCATGCTCCTTAAAAGAGCCTTTGTATTTTTCATTAGCTAACAACCACTGTGTGGTGTATTTTTCTGGTTTTTTTTCTTTAACCTATTTGTTGTGCATATCTTAGATTATGCAGAAATGAAATTTTGAGATCTGGTTTTCCTCTGCCATCTAAAACTGGAAGATTGTATATTGGCTTTAGAATGCTGTCAGTGAAAAGCTGACCATTTGCAAAAAGCTCTTTTGTATTTACTTTCCACTTAGAAGGTGAAGGGTTTGCAAGTGGGAATAGGTAACCACAAGGGGGCATGTTTCTTTTGACTTTATTTCTTTGAATAAACTAACGTATATAGTGTATACTTGTTTTTATGTTTTCATTGAAAACGACCCATGAATAAAATTATACAAGAAGAATGTGTTATTTTGTAAATAATTTCATTCAGTTGCAAAACTGCATCAACAATATTTTGTATACCTACAAAGTACAAGGCACTCTGGTAGGCTGTTCATTAGCTGGGTAACCTGTTAAAACAAGTAATTCTGGATGAGTTTATGTTGAACTAGTCTTTTAAAAAATAACTAATGCATCATACACTTTTTTAATGAGGAGTTCAAATACTACCAAAAATATATTAAAGATATTAGTCAAGTGTCTACAGATATCACACCACACAGTTGAAATTTCTTCTTCCTCAGAGATATTTTCACTTTTCACAAGTCCAGCTACACTTAATAATAAGGGCCTGCATATGGACTAAGACTTGAAAATCTATTTTTCTGTTTTTTTTAAAACCATTCAGAATCATAGCATTTTATTTTATTTTGAAGATTTCACCCATTTGAGAGAGAGTGAGAGAGAACATGAGCAGGGGGAGGGGCAGAGGGAGAAGCAGACTCCCCGCTGAGCAGGGAGCTCCATACAGGGCTCAATCCCAGGACCCCGAGATCAGGACCAGACCTGAAGGCAGACGCTCAACCCACTGAACCACCCAGGGACCCCTATTCCTTCCATTTTTTAACATAGTATATGAGTATAGTCTTCAACTTGCCTAAAGTCACTGAAGTAAGTAGCATTTCATGAAGAGTTCCTGATAATGGGGTAAAATACATGACCAGATACCTACTATTTAATAGTTGAAAATTATGGCAGAAAATATTTAGGAAAAATAAGGAACTTATTATCTCACATTATTAAAAAAATCATGGATAAGTCTTCATTGGCCTTCTTTTTAGACTTATTTGTGCTCAGGCTCCTCAAAATGGCTCAGAGCAGATGCAGAATCATATCTTTAAGTGTGTGTGTGTGTGTGTGTGCGTCTTTCTATGTGCCTTTCCACTGAAAGTAAAAAGCAACACTGGCTTTCAGGACCTCCCAGAATCTCTATGTCCAGGTTTCCTTTATTCTCTTCAAAATCATCTCACCAGCCTTGCTCGTTTGCTCGTTTTTTTTTTTTTTTTTTTTTTTTTAACATTTCAGCCACACTGGCCTCTCTTTTATCCTTCAAACATGCAGAGTCTTTCCTACCCAAAGCCAGGTTGCCTCTTCCCCCAGCATTGCACAAGGCTGGCTCCTCTCATCCTTCAGATGTCATCTCACGTCCAGCGATGTTCATCACCCCCGCCACCATCCTAACAAACCTGCACCCTGCTCCTTCCCTACTCATTTCCTTCTAAGCGTTCATCACAAACTGTCCTTATTTTTTTATTTGTTTATTTATTTATTTTTTTTTACATATAGTGTCTTCCTAACTAGAATGTAAGCTCTATGAGGCAAGGACCTTACTTTTATAGTTCACAGATGTGTCCCTGGTACTTAAATAACAATGAACACTCAATATTTATAGAATAAACAAATTACTTCTAAAATCAAGCAACACAGAAACTTTCAAAGAAGAAAGCAAAAGTATTTTTTAAATCATCCATAATTCCACTACCCAGATACCGTAATTATTATCATTTGGTGAATGTTATTCCTTCCCTTTTCTCCGGGCATTAAAGTTACATAGATATAATTTTTAAATGCAATTATACTTTGTGCTATTTTTCTTTTTTAGATTTTTCTTTTTACTTGAATTTAACAACAAAGTAGGGAATTAAAAATCATCAGATTATTATTTATTCACAAGACATAGCTACCCCTAAAGGATCCTTCTAAAATTAAGAAACAAGATTATGAAAAATATTAAGAGGCTTAAATTGTATTTTGTAATGACATGTTCCAATTTGGGGCAGTTTCTATAACTTTTTTAAAATTATTTCAATGTTATTTACATTTTATTCCATAACCCTAATCCCACAATTGATGTCTTTTTTTTTTTTTTAAGATTTTATTTATTTATTTGAGAGAGAGTGAGAGAGAGCATGAGCAGAGAGGAGAGAGAGAGGCAGACTCCCTACCAAGCAGGGAGCCTAACGCAGGACTCAACCCCAGGACCCTGGGATCTTGACCTGAGTCAAAGGCAGAGGCTTAACTAACTGAGCCACCCAGGCGCCCTGATGTCTTTGTTTTATAAAAATTTAAATGGATTAAAATCTCATCTTTAGTTGCTTTGTTTTTACCATTAACTTCTTTATTACCAAGTTTTTAGTTCGATTACTCTCTTGATTGACTGGATTTTTGCCTGAGGAGATTTTAAAAGAAGGACTCTTGGATATTTTATTTTTTGAGGTTTTGCAGATTTAGGAGTATTAGGCTATGGCCTTTTACAACACCCATTTGGCTGTACGTAACATTTTGGGTCATGCTTTTGTTCTTAGCCTCTTTTAGATGTTGCACCATCTTCTGGCATTAGGGCTTATGGAGAAGTCTAAGGCTGTTGTCATCATTCCCCTGTTTTCCTATGTTTGTGAATATAATTCTTTATCCTTGATGTTTAGTAATTTTATAGGAATATATGTTGGTGTTAGTCAGTTCTTGTCAATTTTTCCTCCCACGGGCTACAACTACCTGGTATCTAGCCTCATTTCCAGTACTTCTTGCAGGGGGCATGTCCACCTTGCCAACTATTTGCCCTTCTGTGACCTCATAATGCTGCTTTATACCCCTCTGGCTTGGCACACCTTAATGAAATTCCCTCATCCCTACCCTCACTCTGACATTGCTGCTACTCATTCTAGCAGATTTAGCTCAGGCATGCCTCTGTGAAGACTTCCTAGACTATACTCCTCAGGTGACCAGGCACTTTCCCCTTACCGCCCCCATGAAATGTAACATGTACCTCTAATATTGCCTTTGGTACACTGACTACCATTAATGGTTTATGACTGTCTCACATCCAGCACTGTGAATTCCAAGGGGAGGGGCGCCTAGCGTTATCCACAAAACTATGTAAGCAATTTAAAACAGAGTTCTTGCTGATAAAAAGTTGGAAATGTTGGATGGATAGATAGCAATTGGACAAATTACTGAGCAGCTAGTAAACCGGGAAAGTGTAAATCTGACACAGTTCGAATACTCTGATAAATTGAATGCTTTGCCTTTAAGGGACATTAATCATATACCGGATGTCGGGGTGGATAAGAAATGTCAAAGACAAGCCTACAGGTGAACGAGCGGGAAAGCCGAACTTCCATGACGCAGGTGACAAGTGTCCAGTAGAGACCGGTGTCTGCTCTCCCGCACCTCGGCCTCTCATCTAAGAAGACGGGCATGAACGGCCAGCCCGTCCCGCATTTCGTGATACCTACAGCTGAAGCTCGCCACCGCTACCCACCAGCTTTTTGCGGAGCCGTCTGCAGCTGGAACCGTGCTGGGAGAGCAGCGGGGCGGAGCTAGTTTTGCGCAGGCTCTGTGTGGGCGGAAAGGGCCGTCAGATTGCGCCTGCGCTCTCGTCAACCTTGCTCCGTTTCCGCGGTCGGAATACCAGACTGGGGATCCGGGCGGGATGGTGTTGCGATGTCAGGTAAGGGTGGGGCGCCCTCACAGGTGCATCTGCCCCCTTTCCTTCCTCCCTCCACGGACCCGGCCCTGCTCAGCCGGATCCTCGTCGCAGCCACCTTAGTCGAGTCTTTCGTCCGGTGCCGCGCCCACTACCACCAGTGTTGCCCCTCCGGGCTGCGGAGGCTTTACTTCGGCTGCCCGAAGGAAGGTCAAGTTCTCTCCGCGAACTCTTGGTCTCCGAGGTGACGGCGTCACAGGTTTCTAAAGGCACCCTCGACTTCGCCCCCATGCTTCTATAATTATACGTTTTGGCAAAGACAGTTTTCAAGTTCATGCATTTAACTAAGAGTTCTTGTGGAAAAAGGTGCTTCATATATGCATTTGCAAACCCTTGATTATTTCCAAACCTCTAATTTGCACACTGGGACAGGTGGGTTATTTAATTGGTCGGATTTCTTAGATACCAGGCTGACGGCATAGGTTTGTCCTAGGAAATACCAGTTTAACCTGTATATCAAACCCACCTGCCTTTACAGAGTCAGGGTTTGTATGTTGCATAACTTAATCCTTGGCAGCTGGGTTCGATGTAATGTGGACTGAAATCAAGGGTCATATGACAAGCGTGAAAGACGTGTCTCATTTTTTTTGGTTATATGGAATTTATCTCTTGACTCAGACATCAGTTCACTGCTTAAGTGTTTATAAAAGATGCTATAATTTTAATGTCAAATAAAGGACAACTTAATGGTTTTTAAGAAGATACCGTTAGGGTTTTGTTGTGGCAGGCTTACATTCATAAAACCGAAAAGCATTTGGAAATTAATCTGAATTGTGCTTAAAACAAAGAGTTTTCAAAATTTGAACTTGTAATTATACTAACATTTTTTTGGGTGATTTAATTATTTCTAATTTATAAAATTTGTCTTTGATTAAAGTAATTGGAAAGAAAAGCTCACCGAGACAGAAAAGGTCTATTACTGTTACTGTTAAAGGCATTTCCTCTCCTTTTCAGGTTGAAGTGTTGTATTTTGCAAAAAGTGCTGAGATAGCAGGAATTCGCTCGGAGACCATTTCTGTGCCACAGGAAATAAAAGCATTGCAGCTGTGGAATGAGATAGAAGCACGACATCCTGGGTAGTTAAAAATTTGTAGAATGCATATGATTAGCACTTTTTAACATTGAAAAATGTGTAAATGATTAGAGAAAAAAAGCTAATTTTTATTTCCATGCTTAATGTCAAAAAGGGTCAGTAGACGTGTTTTTCTGGAACTGCTAATAAATTCTGGTATCTAAAAATGCACAATTTCTTAAAGAAAGCTAAAGATAATTTACTAATAACCACAGAGAGCTGGAATACTGCCAAAGGGACATGAATATATTTGCTTTTATAATTTATAAAATACTGAAAATGTGGGTTCTGCATTTTTATAACATTACATGGGATTGTTACAAATTAGGTTGAAAACTTATGCTTTAGTTTTATGTCCTGCCCCTTCTTTAGAGAACTCAAAATAGAAATTTCTAAGATTAAAAGAAAAGTGAAAGCTCACAAACTGTAGCTACTGCTGAATCGAGTTTTCATAGTATTTCATTTTTTTCTGGTTCTTAAAAATCTGTAATTTACTGCTTTTGTTCCTACCTCAGGTCCTTTTTCGCAATGAAGTATAATTATGGCTTATTTGAAGGAGTTCCAGGAATTTTAATTGTGTCACTTAAGTCTGTATAGATTTTTTTTTTTTTAAGATTTTATTTATTTGAGAGAGAGACAGAGATAGCGAGAGAGAGCACAGGTGGGGAGGAGAGGGAGAAGCAGGCTCCCCACTGAGCAGGGAGCCTGACATGGGGCTCAGTCCCAGGACCCCGGGATCATGACCTGAGCCGAAGGCAGACGCTTAACTGACTGAGCCACCCAGGCGCCCCTGTATAGATTTTTAAACTGGGAAGTCCTAGTGCATTGTAAAAGATATTCCACAATGTAGGTTTAATGGGAAAACTGTTTCTTGATTTCATCTTTTAAGTTTCTTTTTTTCTTTTCTTTTTTTTTTCCCCAAGAACATGGGGAAGGGGCAGAGGGGGAGGGAAAGAGAATCTTAGGCAGGCTTTGCACCCAACGTGGAGCCCAACTCGAAGCTCGATTTCACGACCCCGAGATCATGACTTGAGTGGAAATCAAGAGTTGGGCGCTTAACTGACTGAGCCACCCAGGTGCCCCTTTGAGTTGCTCTTAAAGTGCCCTGATAATTGATGAAATGGGATGTGGCCTTGGTCCTGCTTTATCTTTAACCTTTTACCTGTTGGGAGACACTGGTTTTGTGGGAAAATTCTGAGATACACTTAGTATACTTGTGTACTGAGATCTCCTGGGGAGGGCATGTACTGATTAGGAAATCTCTCTTTTTTTTTTCTTGACCTGGTCTGAATGTTGTGTGATCTAGTTTTTTTTTTTTGCTGGGGTTGGGTGGTTGTTTAAATCCCTGAGACACAACACTCATTAAAGAGTTGTTAGCAGTTTACTGTTTTCTTTGTGGTGAATAAGTATGTTCTTCAGGGGATATGTACTTTCGCTGCAGAATATGAATTGGTTTAATTAGTAACTGCAGGTGGTGCTTCATGAAGTAATATTTAATGTGATATTTTTAGTTGCAGCTGAAGAGATTTGAGGTCTAACACAACATTGATACTTCTAATTATACTTTTTTCCCTTCAGATTGGCTGATGTCAGAAATCAGGTGATATTTGCTGTCCGTCAAGAATATGTCGAGCTTGGAGATCAAGTCCTCCAGCTTCGGTCGGGAGACGAAATTGCCATTATCCCCCCCATTAGTGGAGGGTAGTGCTCATGAGCCACTTGGGTGTGTGAGATATGTTTTTTTTAACCAATTTTGTGGAAAAGGATCACATAGATGATAACTTGTATATGATTTGCTTTAAGTATATACTTTTCGTAAGTCTGTGCCAGTAAAGAGTTGCTGCTATAATAGTTGATAGACTTATACATATATAAGTAGACAGACTTATACATATCTGTGTATCATCTCAACGTCTGTTCTCTTGTAAGCAGTTTAATTTTATGTCAGTTTGACATGTTCATTCTCTCCACTTGAAATGGTTTATTGAAATTATGTGTCAGGTACAGTGTTGGATGCTGGAGTATTAATATTCCTATTTTGCGGGAAGGAAAACTGAAATTCAGAGAAGTTAAAAGACTTGTCTATGATCACATAGCTAATAAATGGCAGAGCCAACATTTGAATTCAGATTATTGGATTCTCTGTACTTTTTCACAAATACATTTATTTATTTATTTATTTAATTTTTTTTTTTTTAAGATTTTATTTATTTATTTGACGGAGAGAGAGATAGTGAGAGCAGGAACACAAGCAGGGGGAGTGGGAGAGTGAGAGGCAGGCTTCCTGCCGAGCAGGGAGCCCGATGTGGGACTCGATCCCAGGACCCTGGGATCATGACCTGAGCCGAAGGCAGACGCTTAACGACTGAGCCACCCAGGCGCCCTCACAAATACGTTTATTAATACAGGATAATAGCTCTCCTGGGTACAGAGAAATGTAGAAAGATTGCATAGTCAGGAAGTAAAAAGATCACTGTGCCTAACAAGAAAGCTTACCATTTTCCAGGTGTAAAGAAACAGCTTTATTATTATAGTTGTGTTGCAGGTAGCTCTAGGACCCAATGCATCTTCCCAAACAGCATAGTCTTTATCTAAGTAGGATGATGCATAAGAATATCTCTTAGTGTAGTCTGGAGAGACAGAATGAGGCTTAATTTATTGACAGTTGAAGAGCAAATAATGTAGAAATTAATGATTATCCCTAATTAAAAGTTTTTGGTAAGTTAGGAATGAAAAAAACCCCTTTCTTAATGTGATAGGGCTTTTCTCCAAAATCAAGAGTAAATACCATACTCAATGGCAAAACCTTGGTTTCAGTAAAGAAAGGAACATACCAAGGATGCCAGTTTATTTTTTTCACCTATTTTTTTCCTCTACTCTGCTGGAGGGCAGTGCCCCCAAAAGTGAAGAATATATATTGCAAAGCAAGTTACGGTAAAGACTGGATCTTTCTTAGTCCCACTATTTGGAAATAATAGAATTTCTTGTCATATTTTTCTCAGTTTTACTGGGAAACTGGTAACCATATCACCACCATGATTTTAGAAAAATGCCATTTTCTTGAGTTTGGAATTTATTCAGAAAATAGTATGCTGCCATTAAAGGGGTGTGTGTGTGTGTGAGAGAGAGAGAGAGAGAGAAAGAGATTAAAGGTGTTCTTTGGAAAGCTTAGGAAGATTACTCAAACAGCATTATGTATTGTTTGAAGGTGTTTGACAGGATTTGTATCATGGGGTTTTTAGAATCCATGTCCCTATAGAATCAAGTTGTAGGAATTTGGTATGGTTCCAAGTTCATAGAGCATAGACCATGTTTGGGTTACCTATAAGTTCTTGTAAGAAGCTCAGGTGGCATGTACAGAAGGTTGAAACATCTTAGAATCCAGTGGAATGTGAATGTTTGTGCTTTTCTTTTCAGTAGCTGGAAGTATAGGGAAAAGAACATTGGATTTAGTGGGAGTCCCTGACTGGAGTCACCTTGAATGGAGTCCTCAACTCCTCTGAGCCTTCTTTCTCAATGTGAATAAAATCCCTCAGGATTTATGATTATATCCAGACTCCTCATCCTGCAAAGCCCGACCTGCGTGCCCATTCTCAGCCCATCTGTTCCCTCCTTTGAACCCTGGGTTCCAGCGTCCCCTTAGATTCTGGAACACACCTTGGTCTTTCTTGTCCTAGAGGCTTTGCATTTGGCATTCTTTCTCTGCCTGGGGGCATTTTCCCGTTTCTTTACAGGACTGCTTGCTTATCTTTCAGGTCTCACTTCTAAATACTCTCTCTTGAGAAAGGCTTTCCCTGATGCTCTTACACAGCCCTTCTTCCCCAGCACCCATGTTCTGTCTCAGAACCCTGTTTATGTTACCCCTGTATATAATTTTTCTCTCTTGCTTTGTTTCTCCATTCCTGTGTAGGTGCCCTGAGGGCAGGGCCAGGTTGTTTGTTCCCTGGTCCTTGTCTAGTGCATGGGGTTGGTCTCTTAGTGAGTATGTAATAGATGCTTGATGAATGAAATGAGAAATGCATGGCAAAGGGCTTTGTATGACATCTGGTGATAGGCACGCAGTTCATTTCCTTATTTCTTCAGTTACTTAACTGGATTATGTCCGGTTATAAAATGAGTCCAGTTCCTGTGGAGTCAGCATTGCTTTTGTTCTCCTTGTCTTCTTTTTGGATAAAGAAAAAGGCAGTTTGGGTGTGGTGCATGGAAATAGAGTGGTTAGAGGTGACATGCGTGTGGATGGAGTGTCGATGTCTGACCCACCCCATGATGGGAGAGAAGAGCCGCAATTCCAGAATTTGGAATAAAGTGGCACATGAGATGGATTACATTTTAAGTTGATCCTGTTAATGGTAAATTCCTTTTTATATTGTCCTTGATTCATTAGGAATATTTATAAACATGCTGGATTTTGCTAAAATTTTACACCTGCTTATTTTTATTATTCTTTCACATCTAATGTACAAAAAATATAAATTGAAAAATAGTCTGTAAGTTGGGTGTTTTGCCTCTAGTACCAATGTTAAGGTTTATTAATATCTTCTAGGGAAGAGCTGAAGGAAGTTGAAGAGTCAGCTAAAGAGATAATAAAATTCACCACTGAGAAGCTGTCCATAGATGAAGCCTCACAGTTGGTGATTTCTCCACTCTGTGGTGCAGTATCCCTGTTTGTAGGTGAGTTGTCATGTTCACAGCATCTGTTGACTGCATAAGACAAGAGAAATTAGCAAGTGTTTCCCATGCTCAGTGTTAATAGAGGATTTTAAGATACTGAGAACAGTAAGCCAAGATTACCCATGGTGGTGGGTAGAAATTTTTTTGGTTCTTATTTTGTTTTAGTAATCTTCAGATTAACTTATATTAAAGGCATTAAAAGAGTAGGATAAAAGTCATTACGAGCAGGGAGAATTCTGTATTTTCCAAATATTGAGGGGGAAAAATGATAGTGATACTAACTTAATGATAATCCTGGGAGCATAATGTTTCCCATATTGGTTTGTCCTATGAGTATTTTTGGTATGCTTGCCTAATCAGTGTCATTTTATTTCTATATCTTTGTGATAATTATTTTTTCTTTTTTTTTTAAAGATTTTATTTATTTGACAGAGAGAGAGAGAGCACAAGCAGGGGGAGCGGCAGGCAGAGGGGGCAGGCAGAGGGGGAGGGAGAAGCAGGCTCCCCAACTGAGCAGAGAGCCCTGTGTGGGACTCGATACCAGGACCCTGGGATCATGATTGAGCTGAAGGCAGACACTTAACTGAAGGCAGACGCTTAACTGACTCAGCTACCCAGGCACCTCTATTTTTAATTTTTCTAACCAGGTTTTTGTTCTTAGAAAATTTGAAAGCATTTTTTAGACAAATCGGTATGCTGCTTGTCTTTTAAAAAATAATCCTCTTTTCTATTAATGTGTTGTTTCTATTGTAAGGAAAAACCTTATTTTAATATTTTTCTTTTTCTTTCTTTCTTTTTTTTTAGGGACTACAAGAAATAACTTTGAAGGGAAAAAAGTCATTAGCTTAGAATATGAAGCATATCTCCCAATGGCAGAAAATGAAATCAGAAAGATCTGTAGTGACATTCGGCAGAAATGGCCAGTCAAACACATAGCAGTGTTTCATAGACTTGGGTATGATTTCCTTTAGCAATTTAAACGTTAATTGCAGTTGTTTTCCATCTTTGTACTGATTCTGATTCTGGAATCTTCCATAGGAATCCTGTATTACCATGAGAGGAAGGTTTGTGAGTGATGCTGGCAGACAGAGTGGAGACACTCTGGGTGTTACATTGTAACATTTGGAGAGTGGCTGATGCTGTAACAAAGTCCAAATGTGCCAAAACTCCAAGGCCCCCCCCCCCCCAGCACAGATGGTCTGTGCTAATGTGTGCTAAAGTCCTTAAGGCCTTTTAAAGAATTGTTTCATAGTCTGGACTCAGTTTGTATGACAAGTCTGTTAATAGATTTTTTTTTTTTATGTAAATGCCTTTGAAGGTCATTAAATTAATTTGTCTTTTCGTACCACTAAGAGTGGAGTTCCATGCTTTAAAAAGAATCCGGGAATAGAGACTCCATTCTGTTATTTTCCATTAGTTGCTATTTTATTATTAATAATTTTAATTTTATTAATTTTACCAATTCTATGATTATTTATTTCTGTTTAATATTTTAAATTCTACATTGTACTCACCATGCAGTAAGTTTGTGTCTCTAGGCATTATCTGGCACTGTGCCTTGTTTGAATCAGATAGAATCACTGAAAGGCCTTTTTCTCAGTGCCCATCAGACAGGTTTAATGGATCGATGCTAACAAATTAGCCACCACCTCAGCATCCCCTCTGCTGAATGCAATTTGGATCAATTACTGTTTTTTAACTAACCTGGAAGTTTATGTAAAACAGAACTGGATGTTTAGTTGTAAGAATGTTTTACTGGAATTTTTTTTTTTTTCATCTGTTTAGTAGATTCTTTAACTAGATTCAGAAGAAATGGCATTATTTTTTCTTCATTTTTGTTAAAGCTTAGTTCCAGTGTCAGAAGCAAGCATTATCATCGCTGTGTCCTCAGCCCATAGGGCCGCATCCCTCCAAGCTGTGAGCTATGCCATTGATACTTTAAAAGCCAAGGTGCCCATATGGAAAAAGGTAAGGAAATGTCTATTTTTGCCATTTGGACATGATTTTTCTCACAAATTTTTATTTTTATTTTTTAAATTTTATTTTATTATGTTAGTACCATACATTACATCATTAGTTTTTGATGTAGTGTTCCACGATTCATTGTTTGCATATAACACCCAGTGCTCCATGCAGAACGTGCCCTCTTTAATACCCATCACCAGGCTAACCCATCCTCCCACCCCCCTCCCCTCTAGAACCCTCAGTTTGTTTTTCAGAGTCCATTGTCTCTCATGGTTCGTCTCCCCCTCCGATTTCCCCCCTTCATTTTTCCCTTCCTACTATCTTCTTCTTCTTTTTTTTTTTTAACATATAATGTATTATTTGTTTCAGAGGTACAGGTCTGTGATTCATCAGTCTTACACAATTCACAGCACTCACCATAGCACATACCCTCCCCAATGTCCATCACCCAGCCACCCCATCCCTCCCACCCCCCACCACTCCAGCAACCCTCAGTTTGTTTCCTGAGATTAAGAATTCCTCATATCAGTGAGGTCATATGATACATGTCTTTCTCTGATTGACTTATTTCGCTTAGCATAATACCCTCTAGTTCCATCCACGTCATTGCAAATGGCAAGATTATAGTTTTTGTTTTTTGTGTGTGTTTTTTTTTTTTTGATGGCTGCATAATATTCCATTATATATATACACACACCACATCTTCTTTATCCATTCCTCTGTTGATGGACATCTTGGCTCTTTCCATAGTTTGGCTATTGTAGACATTGCTGCTATAAACATTAGGGTGCACGTACCCCTTTGGATCACTACATTTGTATCTTTGGGGTAAATACTCAGTAGTGCAATTGCTGGGTCATAGGGTGTCTCTATTTTCAACTTTTTGAGGAACCTCCATACTGTTTTTTAGAGTGGCTGCACCAGCTTGCATTCCCACCAACAGTGTAGGAAGAAGGTTCCCCTTTCTCTGCATCCTCACCAACATCTGTCATTTCCTGACTTGTTAATTTTAGCCATTCTGAGTGGCATAAGGTGGTATCTCTTTGAGGTTTTGATTTGGATTTCTCTGATGCCGTTTCTCACAAATTTTTAAAAGACAAGGAATAAGATTATATACAGATCTTGTATTCATGGGTCTTCCCTAACTCTATAGAATCATGTTTATTTGTGGAATAGGGTGTTTATGTAATGTTTCCTTTCCAGGGTTTGTTAAACATGAAAAGTACATGCCCCAAAGAATGCATGGCACAGATTAGGTCTCAATAGATAGTAACAACTAGAATTCCTAGTCGGGACTGGTCCCATTGGTTCATATATGAATTCATTTTCTTTGGATTAGAATTCCTTTGAATTTCTTTTGGAGAGTGGGAATAATTCATGGCTATTTAGGCAATAGCTAAAACAGAGATTTCTGGGGGCGCCTGGGTGGCTCAGTTGGTTAAGCGACTGCCTTCGGCTCAGGTCATGATCCTGGAGTCCCGGGATCGAGTCCCGCATCGGGCTCCCTGCTTGGCGGGAAGTCTGCTTCTCCCTCTTCCGCTCCTCCCTCTTGTGCTCTCTGTCTCTCTCACTCTCTCTCTCAAATAAATAAATAAAATCTTTAAAAAAACCAAAAAAAACCCAGATTTCTGAAGGCAAAAGAGCAAAGAACTTCTTTTTAGGAAAAGAAAAGGGTGGGGTATTGCCTCCGGAGAAATTGCATAGTGAGTGGATTTTTAAAATGTAAATAGGAAATTCTAGCTCATTTTCTGTCAACACATCAAACCAATCAAGAAGAGCAAATCTCTGGTTAAAGAGGACATTCTGAAGGGATGAAAAGACCCAACTCCCTAATTTCTTCCCTGGTGTAGTAACAACAGTGGGATTATTCTGAATTCTCAAACTTCTGATTGCACTTAAGAGCGTAGAATTGCCTACAACATTTTGGCTGGTGGCAAAGCTGAGGAATGAATTAGCCGCTCAGATCAGAAGGCCAGAGCAGAGGACCAGAGGGTGAGTCTTTCCTAGGAGGCTACCACCTCAGTCAGTGGTGGAGACAAGCAAATGTGGGACTCTGACCCAGGGCCTGTGAAATTCAGTGACCCTATTTTCTGAATAAAAACTGAAACCCATTCTTATAAGGGGATACTTTGGGATTTGAAGATAGGATATGTGAGAGAAAACTGTCCTGGTGCTTAGTGAAGCTCAGATAGATGGTGGCTTTGCTATGAACAAAGCTCCCACAATTTTGATGGGCTACATGAGGCCGTTTCCTGAATAGAGTGCAGTAGGAAGAGCATTGTACATTGAGTTGTGAGCTCGGGTGGCAGAGGTAGTTTTCTTTACCAGGGAGGAAGAAGGGACAGCCAGCTGACAGAAAGTAGATGAGAGGGTAGACCTCCAGAATAAGAAAGTGGGCAGGAGTTAGGGCATCATCTCATTTTTATACTTGGAGGACTAGCTGAGCTTTCTATTTACTTTTCTGTGTGTGGAGGGTGAGAAGGGTATACAGGTGTTCAGAGGAAAGTCGAATTTGGATTTCTGTCCCTCAGGAATAGATATGACAGGAGAGTGAGAAGAAAAAGTGATACATTCTTGTTCCCCTCCCTTCCAAGAAGTATCTAAATTCTTGTGGGGTTCTAGTCCCACCTGTGCTTTGAGATCATTAGTGATCTAGGCAAGGTGTAGGCGGATAGGTGGGGCACACACTCACAGTTGTTGGTAGGGTGCAGCCCAAACCTACTTAGGACCTTCTGTGGGTGGTCACTTAATTTCACACCTAGTGGAAATACCCCTTCTGCCTACGGAAAAACATATTTAGAAATGTTGAAGTAGTAGATGTGTTTGGAAAGAAAAAAAATGTTTACAACTAATGATCTTCCATTTTCCCGGCATGAACTTGCTCAGGCTGTCTCCCGACATGGTCCCGAATGGAATTGTTTATTCCATTCTGTGGTTGTACCTTGTCTTGTTAGATCTTCTTGTCTATTGTTTCTCCCACTGGATTGGGAGTCCTTAAGTGTAGGCAACATGTTTATTCATTTTTCTACTCTTAGTGCCTCATACAAATGTTTGTTGGATTGTTAGAAGAGTAGCAGATTTAAACAGATGTGATATTCATTTGCCTGAATTATTCAGAGGTAGTTGAATTTTTAAGCCACTCTGTTTTGAATACCTGTTATGGTTCTGTTTTTCAGGAAATGTATGAAGAATCATCATCATCTTGGAAAAGAAACAAAGAATGCTTTTGGACAACCAGTGATTAAGTCACACATTTTTTAAAGAATACTAAAATTAAATTTGGTAAACCTCTGTCTTTAACCATATTTTGATTTTTCTTTCCCAGAAGTTAGGATGGTTTAATGAAGTACAGTCTCTTATGTTACACCAGTACAATGTGACAAAAGGGAGACAAAAAGCAAGTGGGTGTTCAGGATGAGGGCTTATGCAGGAACCGGAGATAGAGGAGAGGCTTTAGGGAAAAAGCGGGAGAGTAATTGAAATGTGAGGGGAGATGTTGGTGGTAGACATACTCTTCCATGAAGTAGGAATTTCAGATTACATAATGTTTTAAGTGTTTTTCAATGAGAAGCAAAATGAAAAGGATTTTATTTTCTTTGAAGGTAATAGTAGATGGTCAATGAATGAAGTACTTTATGATTTTATGGGTGGTTTTGTCCTTTGAATATGATATTAGAGTCACAATATATTTCAGTTTGTTGTGAGAAGTAGTGGTCAAGAAGCCAGTACTTTGAGTCTTGATCTCCAATCCCTGAGCGAACCTATTGGAGAATTTGCAAACGGATTCCTGGATGTCTTTCCATTTTCCACTGCCACATCTCTCATCCAAGCCAGTAGTGCATGTCTCTTGGACTGCTGCTCTGGCCTGACAGTCCCCTGCTGCTGTTCTGCCTCCCGCTGAGTCACTGCATCCTCCTTGGAACCTTCTGAGAGCCAGTCCCATCCTAGAACCCCCACTGTCCTCTCCGTGGCCCACAGTCTGTGATTGGGCTCCCCCCTGCTCCTCGCTTGCTCCAGGCACCCCTGCTTTGCTGTGGCTGGTCTGCAACAAGCTTAGTTTGTCGTAGGGCCCTTACTTGTTCCTTTATCTAGAATGCTCTTCCTCCAGGTATTCCCACAGTCTGCTTCTTCACTTTATTTCAATCCCCAGTTACATGTTATCTCCTCAGAGAGCCTTCTCTGGCTATCCTATTTCAAACTGGAGTCCTGGTCCCTTACTCTGCTTTCTGCCTTGTTGTGGCCCTTAATGCTACCTGATGGACTGTATCTGTTAGTTTTCTCCATCACTGGACTCTAGACTTCCTGAGGTCAGGGGATCTCTGTCAAATGTCCCCACCACTACCATGGACTGGAAAATGCTGTTGGTGTTAAGTATTGTGCCCCAGATTAAACACACCTGGCACATGTGTAGCTGTTGTGTGAAGGTATCTGGCTGAATGCATGAGTGGGTGGGTTTCCGCTCTGCTCCTGTACTCTGCCGTCTGCAGAGCGCAGAAGTTGTGAGAGGTCTCTTGAGGCGGGAGTGATCTGTGATGTAGTTAGTAGCTGACCCGGCAGAGGGCAGCAGAGCCAGGGCTACAGTAAGAGCAGCTTGAGTCCGCTGTTTAGTCTGTTCCTTTTCTTTTGCAAAGAACCAAACTTTCAGTTTAGTTAGCCTTTTTCTTTAAGTTAGGGTTGGAGTGGTTCTTAGATGAACAGTAGTGTCTGGCTTTGAGGAAGATTATTTCCAGGGCCTAATTGGTACCTGAATTTAAAATATTGAGGGGTTATGATAGGATGAGGATGGAATTTTTAAAAATGCTGTTTATAGTTTTTAAAAAGTGATGTAGAATAAGTAGGAGGAATTTTAAAAAATGAGTAAATATAAAATTTTCCAATTTGGGACAAAGTGGTAGCCTTAAAATATAGATCTGTTCTGTGACAAACCTCATGTTCTTTTTCTTCATAGTTGTATTTTAGTGTACGGTACATACCAGACACACTCACTGGTGGTAGTCCCGTGGTAAGCCGCCCTGACAGCTTGGTTCACCAGAACTGAGATGGGCAAGGTTGAGGAAAGCGTTTGAGAGGTCACCTGATCTGGGAATGGGACACGCTTGTGCATCGATGTAGATGGAAGCATGTGCCACCCAACCTTTGCATTAATGTGCCGTCTCTACAGTGAAGGCCAGTCGGTAAGCTTGCTCTGTATCTTTCCTAACACATAATAACTTCAGCATATTTAATCCTTAAAATGTTTAAACCCTCCTGCTTACTACTAAACCTTAAAAAAAAAAAACCAAACAAACAACTTCAGATGACTGCTTAGGCAAGTTGCAACAGTTGGCCAACGTTTTTTCCTCTCTCTTCCAAGCACACATTTTATTTCACGTGAGAAGTTGTGCTTTAGAGCAGTGCTTCTCAGACTTTACTATGTAATGTAATATGAGTCATCTGGGGATCTTGCTAAACTTCCCACTGGCGTTCAGTAGTTCTGGATGGCACTGAGACGCATTTTGTAATAGGCTCCAGGTGATGCAATGCTGCCTATCTGTGGACACACATTGCGAGGCAAGGTTTTACACCTAGTCCTTAAACCATGAAGGTAGTTTAAGGTTCTTACAGAACATCCTGTGGTCACTGCTAGTAATTTAAGAGATTAGTTACATCCTTCCAATTCTTACTTTGCTTCAGAACACGTTCAAGACTCCATCAGAGTGTGTAAGATAAATACAGTGAAATAAATATACGAGCCATAAAATTAAAAGTCCAAAGTAATAGAACTTTATTTTCAAAGCTATTTTAATTATAATAATGTGGTATAAAGAGTGTTTACAGTTAAATAACACTTTTGCTTGATTCTCATATTTGAGTTTTTCTCATATGAATGTTGATTACTTTTCCAATTCGATTTGTTTCTCAGAAATGAATTGTACAATTAGATGAACATGCATACATTTTTATATTTTTTGTGGAGAGAAAAAAGGCAAAAACCAGTTAATTACATCTTAAAGATTTATACTTTACATGAAGGAAAATATCCAAGACAGTTTCTCTTTAAAAAATATACAATTCTAACATAGTTGTGCAATATATACATTTTTGACTTTGCCAAAATCCAGTACAGATGAAACCATCTTTTTGTATTTACATATGGCTACATTTTCATTAAGGTTCAAAGACGTGGTTAACATTTTTATTTCAAATTTTACCCTCATGTTTATCTTTTACCTTTAGATGTTTAGCCTTTCAAATTGTTTATAATGGGTATGCTTAATGTACATGAGGGGCATAATCCCGAAAAGTCATGGGTACAGGTATTTTCTGTGTGCAAACTGAAATACCAAAGATGGGCCAGGGAGCTCAGTTTGAGGGATCCTGCTTTCTGTTTAATGTCTTGAGATTTTTAATATATTAACTTATAGCTGCATATCAGAATAGATAAATACATTATAAAATTATACCTTTACAATAGCTTTTAGTATAATCACTTGTGTGATTATGATAAATTGGTTTTAGTTTTCATTTCACAGTTAATAGATAACTTCTATTTTATAAAAAGAACACTGCCAGCTAGAAAAAATTTCTTTCTAGTTGGGGAGTTCTTTTGCTGCTAAAATGAATGATGCACCATTTCAAGTCTTAAGGCAGCTTCCTCACAAACTATTTTACTATTTTCTAAATGGCTTATGTGGCAGCCATGCACAAAGCAACTGTTTTTAATCACATTCTACAGATCTTGTCTATATACCATTTATGAAATGGAAACTTTAAGATGGTATCTCTTAAGCCCCATATTATACTTACTTTTAAAACAAAAGTGTGGCTGAATAGGAATACATAACTGTTTATTTCAAGCAGTGGGTTTTGTTTTAATTTCTTGGAAAAATCCTTGCCTTTGCTTAAAAGTGCTTGAGAAATACTAGAGCCCTGCCTCAAATTTTGATCTGATGATGGAAGTTGTGTATTTATATTAGGCCACTTGCTCTTAGTGTATTGGGGTTCTCAATTGGGTGATTTTGCCTCCCAGGAGGCGTGATACAATGTCTGGAGATATTTTTTGATTGTCACATCTTGGGGCAGAGGATGCTCCATGCCAGGGATGCTAAACATCCTACAAGGCACAGGACAGTCCCCTGCAAGAATGCATTACCTGGCCCCTCACGTCAGTAGTGCCCAGGCTGAGAAACCCTGCCCTAGGGTAATAAATGGTACAGAGACAAGTGGCTAAGTTTTTAGTTTGTAGTAACCCAGCTACTTCATGGAGACAATGCTGCCAAGGTAGATTACCTAAGCCACGGCTTGGCCAAGGCTCCCAAATTCACCGTGGGTTTTAGTGCTTCTGTAAGAAAGGAATGACCTGCTAGAATTCCTTGTGTAGCACCCTGAAGAACTAGTATGTATATGTGTACAGTAGTTAGATGGTTTATTAAATACTCTATCAACTTAGTGATGTTTTTCCTCTACTCTCAGAAGTTTTGGACTCAGAGTCCACACCGCTGTACTAAGAATTGGGCTCTAGCACATCTAGAGAATACCATGGTTTTGCTATAAACCCCTGACATTTTATGGCTAATTCCCCCCCCCCCCCCAGTTTTGCTTTGTCAAATACAAAATAAATCACTAAACAGTGTAGATAGCTTGAGATAGCTCACAGGAGTTGGGCCAGGAGGGCAGTCGGGACCAGATGCACACGGGCATATGCCTGTTTTCAAAGTCAGGTTTTTGGAGGATTGTTATTACAAGAAATCCAGATCATAGCCTTTTAAAGCTAAAAGCATTGCTGCTGAACTCCAACCCAGTCTTCCCATTTTCTAATGCAGACACTGCAGTGTATAGTCCCTTTGCCTTTCTCCCAGTCCCTTCTGGAGAATGTGTGGGCTCAGAAACAAAGTGCAGAAGGAGAAATGGGTGGTGTATCGCCAAGACAGTTCATTTACATCAGTGACTGGGATGCTCGTTAGAAAACAGACTAATGGGTTTCATCCCTGTCTGACCAAATAAATGTCTCAGGAGTTGGGACCAACAGGCTACCTAGGGATCAAACTTGCCCAGGTGGGAGTCATTCGTCTGGAAGCTTAAGTCCTCCAGCAACACAAACCCAGAGGGTATAACTGCTAATTTGGTGGTTTCCAATATCTCCTTGTAGTTTCTTGCAAATTCCCGTGTTTTTTTTTTTTTTTTTTTTTAACTGCCTGAAATTCCAACAATTAGAAATTCACTCTGGCTTATTTTTCTTACTTGTTTACCAATAAATGAAAATAGCTCCCTGGAGTTAAGGAGATTATTCACATAAGTATGTGAGATGATTTTTCGTCCTCATCCCTGGAGGTATGAGGGGAGCAGCTGCCCCCAAGGAATGGGGGACTGGGCCAAGGGCCAAGGGAAGGTGGTTAACTCTGGATGACTGGATGGGAAGTGCCTCAGGGAGCTTCTAGAAGATGGGGGCACCAGGAGGTGGGAGAGTGGCTTGGTCCGGAAGGAGGAAGGATGCCAAAGAAATTACTCATCTTCTGAAAATTCAAACTAGGTCCCTGCCAGCCAGTCAAGTTAGCAAGTTGGGCATCCTGAAGGAGAAAGGCAACTTCCTACTTCCTGTAGCATAGGCTGGGCCTCTAGCAGATAGGATTTTACCATAAACGTTGTGATATTATGGATTTTAAACAAAGTTTTGTGCTTTGGCCTCTAAATTACTACCCCCTCTCCACCCTTAAATGGAAGTTTTTTTCTCCAGAAAGCATACTCTGGGCTCCTACCAGGTATCCAGGCGTGTTTTGATAAGTACATCCTAGCAAACAAGGGACTGAGAAGGCAGCTGCAGGCTGACAACAGCAAATTTTACCCTACTTTATTAAGAAAATTATCACTTTAACTTCTGTGGCAGCTTTGGATGAGCAGCATAAGTTGAAAACCTGTGTTGTTTTCTCCCCATCAACATCAATAGCCAAGCTAATTCTGTGTCTATGTGAAGTCCTTCCACTTTTGTTGTTACTGTTTAAAAACAATCATTTTCAATGATTGGGGTTCCCCCTCCAATCTGAGAAAGGTTGTATTTTTCTTTAAGACTTCTCATGTTTGTAAGCATTTCATTTTTCTGACACAACGCACATTATAATGTAAACTCTGGACCAGCCAATGGAAAGATACCACTTTTCCTCCCATATAAAATAAGTCTTTTACCCTTTATACTCCTAGCCACCCCCCCCGCCCCAATTTCTTCTTTCCAAACTGACCTGCAGTTTTTGTAAAATATCAGGCTAGTTTACCTATTACACATAAAACACAAATTTAAAAAAAAAAAAATCCATTCATGCAAATTGCAGACCCAGGCTGCATGCTGCCCGGAGACTGGGGGGGGCGCTCAGCTGCTGAGTTCCGTGGTCTCGTCAATCTCATCTGCATTTTTGGACATTTTTTCATATTTTCTTTTGAAGAAGCCGAGCTGTAAGATGCGGGTGTAAACAGTTGACCACCCATGGGCTATTTTGTCATGGCGTCTTTGCCCCCGCCCTGGCCGCCCACTAGAGCACCTCTGGGACTCTCGGGGCTCTGGAGGGGGTGGTATGCACACTGTGACCTGGTGTCAGCTTTTCAGTGAGGAAATAGTACCCAGGGAGTTGAACTCAATTCTCAATTGCATCAAGTTAAATTTAAATTTTCCATGGTCTGCTTATTTGCAGCTGAACAAAACATTCAGGGGTCTGGATGGAAGGCAGGCTGAAAAAAAAAAATATAGGGACCAAGACCAAGGATCTAAAATCCTTACTGATTGTTTTCAAGGACATAAGTGAGAATTTGCAAATAAATTTGCATTTCCTTTTCTCTTACGATGGAGGAGGTACTATATAAAACTTAAGGCTACTGTTTGATAAGGAAATTCAAGACAGATGTCTTTAGGAGCCCCATGTTTTTAACCATCTGAGCCACCCAGGCGCCCCTTTAGGAGCCCCATGTTTTTAAATATGAAAAATTTTCTTACCTTCCATAAAACTGCAACCAGAGCTAATAACAAAAGGATTCCAGCAATTACACTTCCTACTATAACTCCAGTTGGAACTTCAGCTTTCTCATGGGGTTTCATTATCGTGATGGGAATCTGTAAATGTACACATGCAACAATTGAGTTAATTGTAGCACCCAGAGAAAGTGAGATGGTCTCGTCAAATTCTCTAATTTTATAAATGGTGGTCCAGAAAGGTGACGTGACTCACTCATGATCTCATTCCTAGCTAAATGTTGTGCAGTATAATTTCTAAAGAAAATGCTCCTGCAAAGTACAGGCAAGGAATACAAGTTTTCTAGTTTCCTCTGTTCTTAATTGTGTCTGTATTTAGTAGATACGTCACCTCGGACAACCTCAGATGCTTTATTTATGAAATAGGAACTTCGGTTTCTGGCACAGTTCCATCGTCAAGTGACAGCATTTGGAGTCCAGACTTGGAGAGGGGAGTCGAAAACCAAACAAATTAACAACCCCAGATCCCTTGTGATTAAGTAACAGCAGCTTTGTACTAGGATCCTAGGTAATTGCTTTCACTTAACTCACTCAAGTTATTTGATGTGGATTGTTAAAAAGTGGAAGTAACGGCTCAGGTTGACCTTTTCCGTGATAAACTGTCCTTGAGGCTATTTGTGATTCTTTATGTCTACTTCCTGGGAATCTTTGTGACTTTGTAATAGAATGGTTGCCCTAAGAGTTGTAATGATAAAACAGTATCATACATACATATATGTGTGTATATATATTTTTTATGTATATTTTTTTAATTGCAGAAAGAATCACTACCATTTCCTCCACAAAGTGTATTAAGAATATTAAGAGCTGCATTTTGGGGAAAACAAGTCGACAAAACCCAATTTATTGATTGATTTAACACTACATTACAGTGGCAGATGAGCCGTCACAGAATTTATGAGTTGGGCTGAACTTTGTCTTGCCTTTTGGTAATTATATTTCTTTTCATTTATATTTTCAAGAGCTAAAATAAGGTTTTACAATTTAGGAATAAAGTAACTAACTTAATGGCAGTCAAACCTTTACTTTCCATTCCAGAATTTCCCAGTCGGGTCCATGGATCCAAAGGGATCCATGAGTATAAAAATTTTTGTATCAGATTTTTAAATGGACTGGGATTCAAATAAATTTAAGAATCGCTCATCTACCTAAAGGGATATGCCAGTTTATTATCTGGATTCCAAATATTATTCAAAAAATTATCCAGATTATTTGGATTAAAAATGTATTTTCATGGACAAGGAATAGTTGGCCTTTGTTATTTATCAGTATTGACAAGAGAAAATCAAGAAAAAATCTAAAGCATTCATTAAAATTGTTAGATAAACGTATTGACAATTGAAATATTGCTTTCTGAAAAAAAGACCTCGGCAGATGTTCAGAGAGTCTGAACACTACATTTTTTAAAAATGAACTGCTAAAATACCTATAGTACTGCTAAGTTCGTAATACTTTGAATTTGAAGTCCACATTTCCTTTGGCTCCATTTCTGATTTTCCACATCCCAGCCTCTGAAGAGAGGGTGTGGGCCTTTGCTGAGGGTCGTAAGCCCAGGGCCGAACAGCATCCTTTCTTGGAATCCTTTCTCCTGGGACCAGAGTGGGCCACCAGTGCTGTGAGCCCTACTCTCAAGGATTGACAGAGGTCCAGAGTTCACAGGGCCATTGGCTTTTTAATGGCTACAACAGTGGACTGAGGCCAGCTGCCAGGCTGGTCTTGGGACAGAGTCTTAAGCTGGGGCTTCCAATTGTTAACAAAAGCATTGGGAGGAAAATGCTCAGCCAGCAGATTAGCTGAGCTTGGAAGTCCCACTATATCTAAATATGGCCTATTCGAACCAGAGGTTCACTGCAAAGGAAAGTTGTCCTGTGCCAGCCCTTGGAACAGTGAGCCTTTGTTTTCTCTGAAAGTACATTTCTTTGCAAGAGTTTTTTTTTTTTTTTTCTTCCAAATCAAGGGGAACATTCATAGTTTTCTAGAGTATAAGAACTAATGAATGGACACTTCACACAGTGCCGGTATCTAGCTATAAGGAATACTAAAAAAAACCCAACCCAAAACCCTCTAATAAATGCCTTAAGCCTACTTAAGCACTTCTCTTTAAACAATAAAATAAAATATATGATTCAAATAAGCCTGACTTGAATGTCATAGCCTGAGATGTAGACTGTGCTGTGAAAGCAAGGAGAAAGGAAGAGTGGCTTGAGGCCTGGATTAGGGAGCCACAGACAGCAGGAGCCCCTTTTGTTGTGCCTCGAAGTGGACTGTCCCTTCTGATCCAGCTTCGCCAACATGGGTTGGGGGCCGTGGGGGAGTGTGGAGGGCACGTATACCACTGAACTTTTTAGAGTAAAGTAGCAAACAACTTTGCCAATAAGCCTAACGTAATAAACCTCAGGTTTTTAGAGTTTCACTAAGAAACTTGTACAGATGTGTAGGTGAGAAGAACCACTATTCTTAAGTTTTCAGAAAGGAAGGCCTATCAGAGACTAGCGCCCGCTGGGGTGACAGGATGTGCTCACCGTGACTGTGTTTTCTTCGATCACATATATCTGAGGGTCATAGGTGTTGATTTCTGCAGATGCGGTCAGCTGTACGGTCTGGAAAGTTGACTGGAACATAAGAATAAATAGGTTTTATCCTAGCAGAAGTTCACACACACAACTTTGGCATGTTTATTATTTGTTTCCTTGTGGAAAATGACAAGAGCAAAGGGCTCCTATGAAGCCCCAAGAATCTTTGTGTTCCTAAATTGGTGATACATGTAGGACCGCACATGGGAAGCAGCTGGGGAACTGAAAATGTGTGGATACCTGGGCCATAATAGCAAATTAAACCAAATCTTGGGAGTGGGGGCGAAGTTCAGGCATCAGCAGTTTTTAATTGGGAAGGATCATGGTTCAGATTTTTAAAAACTTTATGTAAAGTTTTCATCATGAGGGAAAATTGCAAGCTTGAGGTTTCATATATTTACCTGAATAAGTCAAATAATGGAATGGAAAATCGAATAAAAACAGTAAAAGTACACTTAAACTTGACCATGCATGTCAGCAGCAGACACCCTGAACCTTTTGTCGAGCTACATAATGAGTAATAATTTCAGGTTTCTAATTTCTAAGTATTTATATAAAATACTGGATTTGGGGCAGGCATATAGGAAGGACACATTTTATGCTGTTACTAGTAACCATGTAATATGAAATAACTTTACATGTATTCCTGGACCTACTTAGAGAAAAATGATTTTTCAGTGGATACATTAGTGACATGTATTTTGTTTTTTCTGTAACGCAAATGTTGGGACTGATGCTTACTTTGAAATAGCATACGGTGCCCAGATTTAGAACTGCCTTCCTATGCTCTGGCTACTAGGATTCAGTTTTTCTGGTTACCAAGGCACATGTTTCAACATACATCATGAGGTGATTTGCTAAATTATATCTGGGAGCCAGAAAAAGAATGCATATCCAAAAAGTGAGCAATTTATTTCCTTTCCCCCGGCTCAGTCTGATTAGTTTTAATTTTCTCAAGATGGAAGATTGCATCAGAAGTTAGGCCTGATCCCTCATGTCTTAAGCACACATTATTGGGGAAACATTCACAGTATTGGTAATGGTCTCTTTTAAAAAGAAAAATAGCAATTAAATGATGCTGTTCCATAGTCCCTGTAGACTAAAAAAAATTTCTTCTCAACACTGATCCATCTGCCCTCCCAAGCCTGCCCCTTGGCACAGCCGTGCACACGACATCCTGTTAACTGGGGTCGTTGCACCACGCGTACCTGGGAGAGTGAATAACACACCTGCTAGCGCTCACAGGGCTCTGCCTTCCAAACCACAGCCGACCATGCCACTGATGCAGAGGCCTGAGCAGTCACTTTGTGACGAAATTAGGGAAATGTTTACTTGCAGTGCATCAGGAAAAGGGTGAAAGGCACTATGCTAATGGACTCTAGTATAGGAAATGAGATTTGTATTTCAGACTGGATCTCCTAGGTGGCCCGAGAGCATCCATTTGACTGTTGAAATAGCTGAAAACAAGGTGGGAATAAACATTTGACCTTTTCAGTGGAGGAGGAAGATGTGTGGGACTCGACAGACACTAACTCTCATAGGGGTTTTTCAGCTCATCCATAACCACTGAAAAAGCATAAATATACTTCAGAAATTTGCTCCCAGAAATGAGACTGCTGCTCCTGACAACGTTTGGGAAGGTACTTTTAAAAGTCTTACAGTTAAAATAATGTAGTTTTAAAGAAACTCAAGAAAACCCAAATGGCTTTTTACAGAGCCAGCATGATTGCATTTTGATTTGCAACAGTTTTCCTTCCCAGTTGGCAAAGGTTGCTAAGGAAAACATTTGTTCCTCAAATCCAAGGAGACAAGAACCAGTTGGTGAAATCTGGCACCAAACTGCATCAGCTGGGACGGTGGTCTAACTCACCGCATGCTTCCCATCTTCTAGGATTTAGAGGGGTCTGAAAGGCTTGAAAGCAAATGTAACCAACAACAAAATAAAAGCAAGTAAGAGGAAAACCCAGTTCCTCACTCCTACACTCTCCCACTTCTCTGTTCCCCTCCCTCTCACTGTTCCTCTATTATGTCTTTATCCAAGAATATTGCTCATATTTTGGTTCCAGGGACAAGTTCGGAGGGAACTTAGTCCTCTAATCTTAAAACTCCATAGCAGGGAAAATGGGGTTGTTGGAGAGATCATGAAATGGTTAGAAAATAGGGAATGGAGTGTGGTTGGTAAGCACCTTGAGGATTCATTATTCGTTTAAAAAAAAAAAAAAAAACACAAGAGCCACAAGGACCCCTGGAGGTTTCAGACTAATTTTTATTTTGCTGCCTCAATCAGAGCCAGTGTCGATAAAATGAATAGCTAGCTACTTACGTAGTCAGCTTTAAGGAGCCCTGTCTATCCTATTTTTCATGCCAGACTGAGATTCTGGCTACCGAAATCTCAGCTAAAAGCAGATATGACTACGGCAGAGTCACACCTGCCAAATGGAAAAATCACTGACACTGTTTTGACATATTCTCCAAACTTTTCATGAGCTGGGAAGGACTTTAAAAAAAAAAAATAGTGTATGTATACTGGGCTTTCACCAGAGAAAGGGTAAAACGAGAGCAGAGTGGCTCCATGGCAGGATTCATCTACATGGTAGGCTGAGATCAGTCAATTAGCTGGGAGCTCAAGGAAGGAGACAGAGACGTGCACTTTGATTTGGGCATGTTAAAGTGACTAGGAAGGCAGAAAAATCAAGGGCATGAGGACGAAGACAAACCAGGTGGCCCATTGTTGCCAGGACAGCACAGAGGATCTTGACATCCCAGAGAGTTCTGATGTAGTAGGGTGGCATGGAATCTATGAAGCTGATGATTTACAAGCACCCCAGGTGATTCTGAGGCATAACCAGGTTGGGCAAACTTTGGAAAGGGATCAGAAGCCAATTGCCTTCCAGGGTAAAATTGCTGTGAGTCATCTGGGCATTGCTGATATTAGTCAGAATGCTACTTTTGTTGAAGGGTATGAATTTATTGACAATGAAACCTATGCATCCTTGCTATTGATAAGCCCAACAAATAAAGCTTATACTTACGGCTGCAAAAGTCCCGTTCCAAATTCTGGTTGATACATTAAGGAAGTACTCTCCTTTGACCTGAAGGTCTTTCATCCAGCAGGTAACGTTACCACATGAAGCAGCTCTGCAGTTCTTTCAGATTGGAGTCAATGGTGAAAGGAAAGAGCATGGGCTTAAAAAAGTAAATGCTAAAATTTTACAAAGATAGATAAAACCCAGTGCTGGGAAGGATCTAGGAAAACAGGCAGTCTCCTGAACCTTCTAACCCTTCTTTCAGGAGGTTGTGGCACTAGGCTCAAAAGGTAGAAAATGCATGCCCTTTGGCCCAGCAATTTCCCATCTGTATGGATGATAATCAGAAATGTGCGGAGAAGAGTACGTCAAACCTGTTTGTTGCATTACTATTTCTGAGACTAAAAACAACCACCAAACGAAATAATTTGTTTATCCATAATGTACTAGTTAGGTAGATTATTGGACATACATGCACAAAATGCAGTGCAATTTAGTCATTAAACATAATTGATAAAGATGCATTCCTTAGATGAAAAAAAAAGTTGACAGTAAAAGAATATGGTTGCCAAGGGTTAGGGAAGAGAGAAGGATGAACAGAGGAGTTTTAAGGCAGTGGAATGATTCTGTATGATACTCTAATTGTGGATACAGGTCATTACACATTTGTGAAAATCCATAGAATGTCCGACATCTAAGAGTAAATGCTAATGTAAACTATGGACTTGGGGTGATTATGATGTGTCAGTGTAGGTTCGTCAGCTGTACCAGTCTGATGTGGAAGGGGATTTTGAGAGTGGGGGGAGGCTGTCCACATGTGGGGGCGCAAAAGGCAGTTGGGAAATTTCTGTACCTTCCACTCAGTTTTGCTGTGAACCTAAAACTGCTCTAAAAAATGAAGTCTATTAAAAAAAAGTCAATGATATATTAACCTATTAAAAGAAAGGTATAAAAAAAAGATAGCAGGAGGGGAAGAATGAAGGGGGGGAATCGGAGGGGGAGACGAACCATGAGAGACGATGGACTCTGAAAAACAAACTGAGGGTTCTAGAGGGGAGGGGGGTGGGAGGATGGGTTAGCCTGGTGATGGGTATTAAAGAGGGCACGTTCTGCATGGAACACTGGGTGTTATGCACAAACAATGAATCATGGAACACTACATCAAAAACTAATGATGTAATGGTGATTAACATAATAAAAAATTAAAAAAAATAAAGGTAGCATGGTCCATTTATGTAACAGGATACATTTATCTAGATGTGGATTAATACTTAAAGGTATAGAGGTGGATGTTCATTAAATACTGAGTGGCAATTTGACTTCTAGAGGACTTTAGTTTCTTGTTTGTGTTTTATGTTGTTCATAGTGAGCAGTTGCCATTTTTACAAAATCAAAATTTTCACAAAAATAAGGACAATGCTCAGAGGTATATTTTGGCATACCCTGAGTTTCTCCTGGGCATTTTTACATACTACTGTTTAGATTTAAGCCATACTTACACTGTAATTACACTATAAAAAAGAAACTATTTCATTCTATTTTCCTGTACCCCCACCCTTACCCATCACAAAATAAAACAATTTCAATAAATGAAAACCAGAATTTCAGTGTTGTTCTTAGAGGAGAACTACGGTCTGTTTAGGGTTACTGTTTGCTAAATGTTTACTATTTGAGTTCTTAATATGTGCCAAGCACCATACCAGATGCTAGACTAGCCTCTTTCTCAAGGAAAGGCTCATCACTCTGGAGCAGGAGATAATAAAATATTGGAAAACTGAGAAGGATGGCCAGAGAGGCATTTTAGCAGCTAAATAAGACCTCAGTGATGATGTGGAAGGGGGATGTAAGGAGCTTCACCTTCAAAGCGCATGCGCAGATCTCTCACAAATCATTGCAATGCTTACAAAGTGCCTGATGCAAAACAGTAGTTTCACATGGAATCCTTTTGATTTCGTGAAATCTGATACATGGATTTTATATTACTGGCATAAGTAATAATCCTAATAACCTAGATTTGAGAGTATGTTTTCTAAATCTTGATTCATATGGGCCATCAAAGCCAAAATGAGAAAATTCTGTAACATGAGGTGATAGAAAAGAAGTGCTTTGATTTCCAGGTAAAACAAACAGTGAATCACCCAAAGAAATAGTCACCCCATTAACCTGTCCTCACCAATTCTTTTATGTGCCGGAAATTTTCATTCTTGAAAGACACAGAAGGAGACATGTGTCCTATTTTCAGTGGATTTATTTCGGCATTACAGCTGATGTCACCAGCCTGTAAGGAAGGACATCCAATCAGTCTCAGGAAGCAAAATTATTTCTGATGTTCCTTTTAACATGTTAGGAAGTCCTGAGGTCACATGTCGGGGCAGGGGAGGACTTTTAGGCTTCTTTCACCTCCCCGACCCTGCCACCCCTCCTGTAGCCATTCACATAAACCTGGAAGTATTCAGATCCTCCTGATGCGACTGGGGGGGGGCGGGGGGGGGGCACTGGTTCTTACAGCCTGATACGTAACAAGACCATTTGCAATAATAGACTGTAACTGACGGAATTCAGGGCTCTCTGTGGACCATTTTAAGACTTTGATTTCCTGACGTCACCTGTGCACACCACAGGAGTAACTACCGGAGAGCCAGCTCTACGTGCCAGACAAAGGCTGAGCCCATGTCAAGGGGTTTGGCTCGACAGTGCTTCTCCACCCGGGCTGCACGTTAGAACTACCTGGGGGTGGGGGCTCCTAAGGAATCTTTGGTGCTAGAGCCATTGCCCTGAAGATTCTGATTTAATTGACTGGGGGTGGGCCTGAGCCTGGGCAGGAAACCCAGCTGATAAAAACGAGGAGCCAGGGTTGGTCACTACCAGGTCAAAGTCCAGGTGGGCATCTTAAAGACCAGCTACCAATTGCAGCTCTGTAGACCAATTAGTCTCCCACAGTGGCAGTCAGCTAACATCTCCATGAACAGGACGCTGACAAAGATCTTCACTTGGCCAAAGCCAAGCTTTAGCAATAATTCTGCCATCTGTAACTGTTTCCATATAACAATAACCTGCTTCTAATATGAAACTGACTGCTAGTTAATTGGCACTTAGGATGCATAGCATTTATCTTCTCAGATTTCCATCTGTACGATATCAAGACATGATCACCCTAACCTCATGGGGGTATTTCCATAATGAAAGTGCACACTTTTATAGGCAATTCAGTTGCCCTTACCTGATCTGTGTGCACCTCAGTCAGGTACATCAGTGGGTTCTTTTCTTTGGTGTACTGAGGTATGTGGATGATTACAGATGCCATGCTTACTGGAACACTCCCTGTTGTTACCTGCATGATATGGAAGAAAACATTCTGGTTATTGCTACATCATGCACATGTTGCAAAGAAAATGATCAATAACCTCTGTGTTGATGGAGGGCAACTATTAAGTGGTAAGATTGAGTCCATTTGAGAGTAAGTCTTGTTACTTTAGAGTCAAACTCAGGTGGGTCTCTGTGTCTCACCTGTTCGTGGAGAATCTCAACATCTATAATGTGAACTGGTAAGTAATTGGTGACTTAGAAGTTGGTTAAAAACACTTACTGTTGAGTTGGGCTACCAGGGCTGAAGTCCCACTTTGCCCCTGACAAGCAGTGTGGCTTGGGCAAGATACTTGACCTCTGTACGCTTGTTTTCCTCATTTGTAAAATAAAAATAGCAACTTAGGGGGTATGTGCAGGTACAGCATTTGTTCTCATTGGTGGGGAATCTGTTCTAATAGGCCAGTGCTCATGTCCTACTGGTTGTTAAATAGTTTTTTAAAGATTTATTTGTCATATATATAGAGAGAGAGAGAGCGCATGCACGCGCAATCACAAGCATGAGCAATCGCAAGAACGAGCAAGGGGAGCGGCAGGCAGAGGGAGAAGTCGGCTCTCCGATGAGCAAGGAGCCAGATGCAGGACTCAATCCCAGGACCCTGGGATCATGATCTGAGCTGAAGGCAGACACTTAACAACGAGCCACCCAGGCATCCCTATTAAACATTTTAAATAACAACCATGGGGCGCACCTGGCTGGCTCAGTCATTATAGCATACAACTCCGGATCTTGGGGTTGTGAGTTTGAGTCCCACATTGGGTATAGAAATTACTCAAAAATAAAATCTTAAAAAGAAAATAACAATAGGAATAATAATCCTACCAATCTTATAACTAACCTGGGAATTAAATTCTTTTTACTTTTCAAATTTTCTATGATTTGTTATAAAATAGCAATTTTTCACAAATTTCTCTTATAATTGGTAACAATCTTTAGATTATAATTGCTTATGAATGCTAATGTAAACTGACTGAAGGTATTTGTGTATAAATGGTTAGCTTCTCAAGAAGTGGTCTCCAAGGATAAACTGGCATTTTAATTATATTCCAGAGACTTTTGCCCACAGTAATACCATTATATTAACACTTCGTTGATTAATGTTAAACATTTGCCTTCAAAATACATCAGTTTTTTACCCAGAATACATAGCTATGCACAAAGCTCAGCTGTTTACTTTTTGGAAGTCCTAGGGGTTCTCAAAGTATAGCACCGGGACCAGCAGTATCAGCAACACCTGGAAACTTGTTAGAAATGCACATTTTAATTTTTTTTATTTTTTAAAGATTTTATTTATTTGACAGAGACAGCGAGAGAGGGAACACAAGCAGGGGGGAGTGGGAGAGGGAGAAGCATGCCTCCTGTTGAGCAGGGAGCCCGGTGTGGGGCTCGATCCCAGGACCCTGGGATCATGACCTGAGCCGAAGGCAGACGCTCAACGACTGAGCCACCCAGGCACCCCAGAAATGCACAGTTTTAGGCTCACCATAGATTACTGAATCAGAAACTCAGAGGATGGAGCCCAGGACATGTGCCTTAACGTTCCCCCCAGGGGATTCTATTGCATGCTCAAGTTTGAGAACCACTGGTATATTTCAACATTTTACTTCTTCTCTTCCTGGTCTCAATTTTTCCCCCCTCCCCCTCCTCCTGATTTAGTATTCTTATGACAGGCTTACCAACCTTAATGGAGAAGATGAATTTTGGACCAATATCTTCAGAACTGTGCATGACAGAAGGAACATTCCCATCTGAGGTGACTTCATAAAAATTTATGTTGGTGGATCTGTTGGATGATGTTTGTAAAGCCAAATATTTTAGTTTTGCTGTTGTTCTCGAAGCTTAATACTTCCTTTATTTAAATATCTTCTAGCTTATATTACAAGTAAACGTTTATATTTAGGTCTAAAAACCTAATGAAAACAAAAGCTACTTACAGGCTAATGTTTCCAAGACTAAAACAAATTCCTTTAAAAATATATCCCTTCGTGATCTTTACGCAAGATTCTTTGTGTTCTATGTTTACCAGTTGTAAGGTTTCTAAAATAAGTACAAGTGTGTTACTTTAGAACTAGTAGAGCTCAAGATTGCTATTACACTGACTGGTGTGCTAATGCAGTGCACACTTAGTCCTTGTTGATCGGATGAATGGATTGATAAGCCAGAGGATTTTCCACTTGGGTGGCTGAAATGCAATGATAGGGTATGGAGTTTTAGCTCCTGCAGTATTTTGTACTGGATGCCTGTAAAATAGGGCATACATTTTCCTTGTTATTCCTTCTCCCTATCCTTCTCTAGTTCCAAACCAACTCTAATGCTTTTGGTCTGAATTGAGGTTGGTCAGTCTGTTTCCATGACTAGTGTAGAGACCGCGTTTATGAAGGCTGACCTAGAGGTTTCATTAGACTAAACTTAGAGGTATCAGATGATTTGATCTCTTTGCTTGGGGTTGTCAACTAAGGTTTGCAAGTGAAGGGAGCACCAGGTCAGAGGAACCCCGACGGGACCGCTCAGACTGGAACATAACTGGATACCCTTCCCACTCCTCTTCACTCATTTCCGGGGCTAAGGCTGGATTTCAACCAAGCTAACCTCATTGGGACTGTGGGGGCTTCGGTAGCAGGCATAGGGGTCCAAAAAGCAGTATTTCTTCCCCCTGGGCAGTGTATCATAATTCTAGGATGATGATTCTATTTCAAAAAGAAATTTGAACTGGACATTTTCTGAGATAGTTTTTGGGCTTCTTTACGGAACTCCTGTCTTTTTTTTTAATGCCTAAAACTTTTCCAAATTCTCTAAAGGAAAATATGTCCAAGGAGACTCAAATAGATGTGGCATTTGTCAAGGTTATGTAGATGAGAGGAACAATGATTTGTCAGCCTTACATGGAAAATGGGAATACTTACTAGACTTTGAAACAGAAAGCCTGGCTGTATTTGCATGAATTATTCCCTTTACCTTCCAGAAGACCTTTGTTTGAGCCCCTAAGAAGAGTTGCTAAGTTAGTATATTCTGCTTTTGCATTTTACAGTGATCTGACATTTTTCCATTTGTTACTTAAGTTTTCCTTAAGTTATGTAAGTGTGGATGATCAATGTATTTATAAGCAGTTAGCTATGCTCAGGGGGCTCCTGTTTTTAAAATAATTCTATCATGATTTCCACCCATAATATTTGCACAGTATAATTGCAGATTTATCAAAGTAGTTGCTACACTGCTTAATGATTGGGTAGGAATTTTTCAAAAAGTTTAAAAAAATTTTTTTTACAGTACTTGTGATGGTTAAACAAAATAAATCTGCAAAATAAATCTTATTAATTGTGAACTGGTTACATAAATTATGATCCAGCCAGGAATAGGATAAGTTAGATCTGTATGTCCTGATATAAAAACTTCTCTAAGATTACATAAAAAGCAAGGTTAGAGGAGGATTTTATCATTCCATTCGGGTGTGTGTGTGCGCGCATGATGTATATATCCCGGTAGACAGACAAATCTTGCATCTGGAAGGTATTCTGAAAAATAGCTGAGTCATCTATGGAATTTCCAGAGGAGGTGGGAGGGATGACTTCACTTTTCATCGTCTTTCTGTAGTGTTTGGATTTTTGGTTTCTTTAAAAAAAACATGAAGAGGAATTATTTGGGTGGTGGGATTAGGAACCATTTTAATGTTTACATATCATAATTCTCCATATTAATTTGTAAAAAAACTTTTTGGTATATTTTAAAGAACATCAGATGGTCTTAAAATCCAGTTTACCATCACAAAAATACAGAGCTAAGATGTTACTGAAAGTGAAGTCCCACTTCAATCTTATATTTATTTCATGTTAAACTATCTGGAAAACTGGCCGTGGTGTGAGACTAGAATCCTATAAAGGCTGTGTTAAGAAAAAGCATTTAGGGTAAGAATCAATGTAGGTAGGAAGAAAAAAAAAATCAGGTACTGTGGTAATAACAATCTCTCTGGATGCATTGCTCTTCAGTTCTTTGAGCACTGCGGGTCCTTTTGGAATCTGCAGTTACTGATTAATTTTTCAGGGATGGATGACTTGGGCTGTATTTTATTCTGCTTTTGCTGTTTGCAGAAGCATTCTTTAATCTTTGCTCATGTGTCTCATGCTCTCGACGTAATGACACATTTTCCTTTTTGTTTTTGCTCAGTGACCTACTGCATGATCTGTGTTCCATGCTTTTAAGGGGTGCGGCGATGTGGCAAGTTGGAGAAATCCGCTGTCCCTAAACACTGTTTGAGGCCTGGCTTCTTGGCAATACACTGCAGCGCATTTTCCAGGCATGACCGATGTGTGCTAGGAAGCTGCCTCCGTGCCTCACCAGGTGGAGAACTCTGGTTCCCAGGCTGGGAGGGGGGCATCACCTTCAGCCTGCGTACCTGCATAGCTGTGCTCGTATGTCTGCGCCCATGAACCTGCTTCCCTTCTTAGGGGGAGTGAAGGTGATGCATCACCCTATTCGTGCCTACGGTGTTCCACGTGTTAGCCACTTCTCAGGACACCTGCCCCTCTGAACAATTCAAGATAGCTGCTACCAACCAGGATCATTTTGCCACTGCTTTCAGCTACGCTTGCTCTGGTCAGGCAAGAAAAGGGAATAAATACAGTATTTCTTCGTAGATGACTTCCTTTGGGAAATGCCTCGTTTCCTCTCGGTTGGAAGAAACCCCTAATCAGTGATGTCAGGAATTTTCCACCCAGAAGCTGATTTTCTGTGATGAGATTTTCTATTTGTGGTGGACCTGCTATGTGCAAAGCATTGTGCTTGGGGCTTCAGTGTTTAGGGATGGGGCATTGCTTGCGAGCCCATGGGGATGGCAGGAAGCAGGCGTGGAGAAGGAAGTGATGGCAACTCCTCAGGGCCCAAAGCGTTCTGCTGTGGCCCTCAGGGAAAGCGGGCACCTCATCTGAAGGCCCGCAGAGGTCTTTCCCTGTAGCATGTGGCAGAGGGGCTGCTCCTCTGGCTCTTCTGGTGTTGCTCTCAGTCCATAAACGACATAGTCACTCAAGGTTCTCCTAAGGACGCACTTGTCCCTGGACTTCTCTTTTAGTTGGCAAGGGGGAAATATTTAATTCAAATTTTCCAGTTAAGAATGAACATATAGAGGACTTCTTTAGTCACGAACCAAACGTGTTACAAACCGAGTGATATCAGTGGCCAGAGGCTACTCAGTGTTTCACCTACCTCGTTATGTGAATATCGGCATCATACCGCAGAGGAATTTTGAAGTTGACCAAATTATCTGCCTTGTTTTCTTCATGGCTTTCGCTATTGAAACAGACATTAGGAAACTACTTAGAGAGAAATATTATTAAAGCCCATCTATTATCAATTCATGGCTTCATTATGTTTTACCTTAAGGCTTGGAAATGGACAGATGCCTGATTCTGAAGGTTTTGAAGATTGAAGTCAAAGTTAATAGTGAAAGTCACCTATACACAAAATTAAAGTTCATTAATCTGGGATGGTTCATACACAGGGACCAATTAAAGAAAAAGTTCCCCAGAAAAGCAAACTCACCCCAATTTGATTCTGAATTGTATATGCCTTAAGCTTTCGAACTTGTAGAATATCTGTTCATCCACCTTGCTGTACTTAGCACGCCTCACCTTTAGAATTAGAGGGCCTACACCTTTCAAGTCGCGTGTACAGATCTTCACATCACAGGCATGGCTACTTGTCAGAACGTGAGAGTTCTGTGCCGAAGTGAAATTTGCTTACCAGGGGTTAACATAGGATAGCCGTGACTGTACAGCACTCGGACCAGTGTTGGTCAATATATTCAGTAAAAAAAAAAAAAAAAAAAAAGAACTCTCCCTCTTGTATGTGCTTTTGAAATGAATTGTATGGGGGAAAATCCCACTTTTATTAATAACTTAAACCACTCAGATATTTTAAAACTACCTGTAAATATGCAGTTTGTGACACCTGTCAAATGATGTTACCTAACAATGAAGACGGGATGGTGGCGAATGAACACTAGTACCGAGAGGGGCTAGTGTGGATTTGAGGATGAAATGCAAGTTGTACCTGTTGCTCCCTCTTCAAAGCAGGGTAGCCAACATCACAGGTAACAGTCTTCTGAGATGACACGATCTGGCATGTTACTTCTGTCCCATCAACCTGAAAGAGACCAAGGAAACAATGATCAATATGTAGAGTGCATGTGTGTGTGTGTGTGTGTGCGCATACATGTGTGGGCATGCATGCGTGTGCACATACATGCTGAAGGATATATAAACCACATGGGCATTTTAGCAGTAAAGCTGGTTCACAATGAATTTATTGTCCCCCAAGACTCAAAAAGCTTATATTGTCCGGGTAGCTATTATTCTATTTTTATTGCTAAGCAGGACACCCAATAAGCCAAAAGTGAGGTCAAATACTGGAATTTTCCCCCAGAACTATAAATCATAGTTCTTATATTTCAAAAGCACAAAATAACTTTAATCCAATATTTAGAAATGATGTCTTTAATACATACCTTTCTCTCAATATATTTGAAATTTGTACTTTCAAGAGAAGAAAGCAAATCATATGTTGGTGTTTGTATTTTAAATAATTTAAAGAATCTTTTTTAGTTCTCCTTGTTTTTTTTTTTTTTTTCCTCTTTAAAATAAGAAGTTCCCATTTGGCATAGGAAATTGAACACCGAAGTCAGAATAGATTTAGAACACAAAATCTGTTAAGTTCGACTTTAACTTGGATGAAGCCATTTTTAATCCTTTTATCAAGTAGTGAATTTGGGAAATCTCAGCTTTTCTCTCCTCTACTTTCATTGCTTGGTGGCAACAGAGGGGCCAGAGGGGCATTCATGGCCAAGTGTGTTCCTGGTATAGTGATCAAGTCAACATGATTAACTGACCTCGCTGGAATGCAGCATCCTGGCAGTAGCAAGACTTGTGGTTACAGAGCTTGGCCCGGGCGCTAGGGGACTCTAACTTCTCAGAGCAAGTGCAGCTCGGAGCCTCTGTGCAGCACCATGGCAGCCTCATCCCACAGATGGCTTGACAAGAGTTATGGTTGTGTCTGGCCAAGTCTCAGGGCAGAGGAAAAACTGACCAAGCTGTGAAGCAGAATTGGTCTAGATACAGAGCCAGGCTACGCTCTCATGTGGTTTAACTAGTTGGGAGCCCCAAAGTTAGTATTGATCGCACTTAGGTGTAAGGTGCTTCTTCAGATAGCATACATGACACGGGGGTGTGGGTGTGAGCAAGGTGGTCACTAATGTCAGGCAGGAAACACAAGAGCGGTGAGCCTGGAGTGTCGTCACCTACCGGCATGGACCAGGAAGCAAAAAACAAGTTTTCTGAAAAATCAACAACAATTCTAGTGTTGTATGCACTTTCTCTTTTGTTTCTCAGTGTTATTGAAAATGTTAACCTTCTGTTTTGGTTGCTGACAATAAAGAGTTGATCTCTGTTAAAAGGAAAAAGGTAAAAAAGAGAAAACAAAGTAAGGTTAAAAAGGCCGGTGTTCAAATACTTCACTCATTTTAAAAATAAGAAGATAAAACTCTTTAGATTTGGAGGACTGAGAAAGTTGTTTAATAAACCATCTTCATAGTAAAATGATGCAGACAACAAATAAGTTAATGCTATTAGATCTTCTTCTTCACTGATTTTAATTACATTGCAGGGAGAGGAACCAGCCCAAATACAAATGGTTTGAGATTTCTTACTGTTTTACTCCTTTATGGATGGTAGAAACTGAAATTCAGATTTTAAGGGTCTTTATTAGTTACGGATGTTTCTTTTGTAGAAAAAAATCTCCATAAACATTCACTTGAATAAAGTGATCTAACGTGTCTTATTTCTACATTTTACACTGAGCTCAAGAGCAGACTTACTGAGTGGCTGACAGTTGTTGGACATCTAGAACTAGATCCGAGATACAAACTCCATCATCCCCACAGTCCTTGTAGAAAGGGATCTACAAAAAAGGAAAAACAATCCCACACATTTGCTCTTGAGTTAAAAACCAGACTGTGGAAGAATACATGTAGAATTATCCCATTTATGTAAAGCTCAAAACCATGCAAAGCTAAACAACATTTTAGGAATATATACATGGTTAGCAACATAGGAAGAAAGGCATCAATAAAGGCAAAATGCAAGGTGATGATTTGCCTGGGGGAGCAAGATGAACGTGGATGCAATGGGGGTAGGGAGCGATGCAGAGAACATAGGTTTTGGTAACATTTTTTAAGTGGGTGGTGAGCACAAGGTGTTTGACTTTGTGGTTATTTATTTCTTCAAAAAATATCTATTGAACACCTATGGTGGGCCAGGCACCGCTCAGGGGGCTGGGAATAGAGCAGTGAAGAAGATAAAAATCCCTGTCCTTCATGGAACTTGCATGCTGGTGAATTTTGCACATGTAGGTATTTTCACGTAGAAGACGAACAGTTGAAAAGTTATGTCCTAGGTAGCTTTCAAACACGACCGCAGCGACTATGAAGCTTTCTTAGCCAGTCTGAATTCCAGGAAGGGCAAACCGCACTCACACTGAAGACCTTGGCCTTCTCAGAGTAGACTTCAAGGGCGGGGCTGGTGCCAGGGTTTTCCAGACTGATGTTCACACGCAGATCCAAAGAGTTGACAACGTCAGAGGGCTTCTAAACACACACGGACAGAGCGAGGCGGTTTACTAGGGCATGGCAGCTGCAAGCAAGAAAATGACCACTAATGTGTTCATAAGTAAGAACACAGTGCCCTCTCCATTATGGGGAATATCCTTGTTTTGAATTTTCCAGACTCTTGCTTCTTTTCTGTCTTAATCCTGCCCTTAGCCACTGCCAAGAAACTTAGAGACTTGAGTTCAAGTAAAAATCGGAAGCAGCAATTCTTTTTTTTTTTTTTTTTGATGATACATTGTTTTTTTTGTTTTTTTAAAGATTTTATTTATTTGAGAGAGTGAGAATGAGAGAGAGTACATGAGGGGGGGAAGGTCAGAGGGAGAAGCAGGCTTCCCGCCGAGCAGGGAGCCCGATGTGGGACTCGATCCCAGGACCCTGGGATCATGACCTGAGCCGAAGGCAGACGCTTAACCATCTGAGCCACCCAGGTGCCCTTGACCAAAGAGATTTTAGAAAGAACATAAGCATTCCTAAATATGAATTTTTTTTAAAAGATTTTATTTATTTATTTTGAGAGAGAGAGAATGAGAGAGAACACATGAGAGGGGGGAGGGTCAGAGGGCAAAGCAGACTCCCCGCCGAGCAGGGAGCCCGATGCGGGACTCGATCCCGGGACTCCAGGATCATGACCTGAGCCAAAGGCAGTTGCTTAACCAACTGAGCCACCCAGGCGCCCAGGGGTAAGCACTTTTAACATTTGGTAGGCGAGGCTCTGGAACTGTCCCCCATGCAATCACATATAACACACATATTAATTTTGAATGGATAGGTATGAAAAAAAAAGCAGTGCTCCTTGTAAATGTCCTGCAATGTGACTCCTCAGGAGATAGTTATTGTTAGCTATTTACATAATTGTCAGAATGTTTTCTACATTTGTAAATATATGTACATTTACACTAGTGGGTTTTTATGGCATGTGCTATTAAACTTGCTTTTTTTTGGCATCATCTTATAGGCTCTGTACCTCATTCTATCGCATTTGGCAGCAATCTACCTAATTTTTTTTTTAAAGATTTATTTATTTATTTATTTGAGAGAGAGAGAATGAGAGACAGAGAGCATGAGAGGGAGGAGGGTCAGAGGGAGAAGCAGACTCCCCACTGAGCAGGGAGCCCGATGCGGGACTCGATCCCGGGACTCCAGGATCATGACCTGAGCCGAAGGCAGTCGCTTAACCAACTGAGCCACCCAGGCGCCCTGAAGCACCAATTCTTAGTTAAGCTCACCAGTAATCTTGTTATTCATAAACAATTTATAAATATTTAGAGGATATGCCCAGTTTTAATACTTAAAAGTCCTATCAGTACACGGCTCTCAGGTTGTTGGCTACAATCTTCCCAGTTCCTACGGCCAAGACTTAGGAGTCCTGAGGTATCCTGACCAAATCTCCGGGAGGGCCTATTATGACCTAGATGGGAAGGTGCTCAGGGCTGGCTCTCAGGAAATGACAAGAGAACTCCCTTCCTTGGTCAAGAGCCTAACTCTGCTCTATAGAACCAGGCAAAGGGGGGTTCCTCAACTGGCTGCAAGGCTGGCACACAGGATGCGCTTGGGATTGATATCCAATACGGTGTGTTAACTGAAACAAGATCTCTTCTCTGACCCAAATCACACACATTTTCTTAAAAACTTCACAAGTACACATCAGCATGAACAGGATATATATGCGAACAACAGTTTGGCTGACTTCATTCCCCCCCAGGTTTCATTTGATCTATGACTTAGCACAAAAATAGCAGACAATGAGAGCTGGCTTTTAGCCCTTTAAAGGATGTGTATAATTAGCATCTTCACAACAAAAAAGGTCCAGGCCTTCCTAAACAAGACTCCTTTAACATGAGCAAGAAATTAAACAATGCAATTGATTTTAATTCTTCTATTAACTCTGTTTTTCCAACTACATATTTAGTAGTTTTTGATATGTGATCTCTGTATCATTCATCTATATCAAAAATATCTGGGAATACTCCTTAAATCTGCTTATACCTTGGGCCTTTAAACCCAAACTTCTGGTGGTGGGAACCCAGAATATGCATTTTATAAAAGTTCTCTTGGCAATTCTTATGCATCTTGAACTCTGAGAACCATGTTCTAGGAAAGTTCTTAAGCAGCTCTTTTAAAAATGGTTTCCTGAGGAAATCACACTTTCAAACAACTTACATGGTTCTGGGGGGAAATAGTCATATAATTTATAAAATCAATTTTCTGTTGGAAATTTTCCCCTGAGAAGCATTTTTCTTACTTGCAAGATTTTCAAAATTCATGTCAACTATAGTAACTATGGCATAAGACTGGAGCAAATAATTTTTACCTCATCCTTCACCTATATTAATTTAAATCCAATAATGGAAATCACAAATGGAATTGTCCTTTTCAGCAGCTTAAAAATTTTCCCTGATAGGAAAATGCTAGAATAAAACTTACTGTCTACAAAAGCTTTTCCTGTTAAATGTTTAAGAAAGCACTGTGTTTGATTTCTTTAAGAATCCTATTTTTAGCCTTTCAGTTGTAAGCCCAAATAAAATTTCATGCTAGTAACATATTAGTAGAAGGCGACCATATGCTAGCATAAAGAATATAGGATTTCCTACTTATAAAATTAGACAAGAAAAGCATTAATTAAAAGGGCAAGCATTTTCTAACTCCCAAGCTTCCTTTTTAGACTTTGACCATTCATGAGTCATTCAGAGGAAAAGATGAAAGAGAGGACTGAGGCCTCACCTGTATGTGGATGGTGTGCTCAGCGCAACTCTGTGCTTGGCTTATGAGCATATTCTTCTGCAGGCACCTTTCATTATTTTCTTTAAATAAACCCCTGGAGGTTACTCTGGATGAATACAGGTCTGCATCAATTGTGATGTTGTAGATAATGGCTATGATAAAAATCACAAAGAAATTTTATTGCAAATAAACATTTATAGAAAAACCATCCCTGCCTTATTGTGTCTTACTGGGTGAAGTCAAGGACTTCAAGAAAATATAAAAACAGTCTTTCCATGAATGGATTGTGAGCAGTGGATGGCCACGGCATTTGTAATTCAGACTCTGGTACGATATAGGGAACTGTGGTTACAGAGAGAGGGGATTCAAAGAAGCATGGCTTGAAGAGTGGGGAACAAAGTGGACTTGCCACCAGGAAATCTACAGAGGGAATTTGGTCAAATTATTCACTTCCTCAAGCATCGGTTTTATCACCCCTAACATGGTAATATGATAAAGGAGGAGTTACTGAGTGCCTACAATTGAACACATTCTCAGATGTTCCCTTATACAAGTTTTACTATCAACCTGGAAAGTGGATATGATCTCATATTTCAGATACTAAACAGAATAAAAGAGGTAAAATAAACCAGCTCCATTCACACAGCTAGGTCACCGTCAGAAATAAAGCTAGGGTAATTTTAAAATCAGGGCTCATGTTCTTTCGGCTTCCATGCGGTTGTGAGGATTAACTGTTATTTGAGATCATCTCTGAGGGAACACCCTAGATGCTTTATTTGGGGCGGGGGGAAGGCATGCAACTCCACAGTAATAAGTTTGGAGTCCGACAGACTTGGTTTGAATTCTAATCCACGATTTATGAGCTCTATGACTTTAGGCCATTTGTGTAACCTCTTTGAACCTCCATTTCCTCATCTATAAAACAGAGATAATACTACCAACCCAGGGAAATGAAAATGAAAAAAAATGCAATAAAAACTGATGTTAGTAGCCAATATACAAAGTATCAGAGCCTTCAACTAGAGTCTGCTGTCCAAAACTGAGAAAGAAGACCTGATGATATTCAAAGCATCAGCTGCCTTATCTGGGGTTACTCCAACTTATTTTACTATTTTCAATATTTTAAAGGTTGAGTGGACTTCCAACATACATTAATTCTACAGGTTACCTTTAAAATATCTATTAGAGATGTTGGATAATTTTTCTTGCTCCAATGACTTAATGAAGTTAACAAAGATAGATAAAATATAAGTGAATCAAATGAACTAAAAAGTGGTGAAAATGATATAAAGGAAAAATGCCAGGGAGGCGAATATAGCCAGGATAGAGTTAGTACACATGGTAATACTAGATCATTTTTCTCAAGTAGCCTGTGAAAAGGATAGCCTCATAGGCAATAAATCAATTTTTTAGGTTATTAACTTTAAACTGGAGCAAGTACCTGATACAATAAATAATAAAGACCATATGCTTTAGAAATTTACTTCTCAAAGTTGTGAAGATGGGATTCTGGTCTCACATACTATTATTGCCAGACAATTAAGTGACAAATGATCATGACTGGCTTGTCTGTGTGGACCTGGAGACATCAAGGAAAAGGTCCCCAGTGGGAAGAAAGCCCAAGTAAGGACCTTCTCTGAAGGCGGAAAGCTGCTTTCCAGTTACAGCAACAAAGCCCCCTCAAAAAGAGGAAGATTTAGGAGACAAATCCATGCTTTCAGGCCAGGAGAGTGAACCAGCCAGCCGTTTCTGCCAACTAATACATTTCCTGAATTAATGTTTTAGGCAGACTAGCCACTTAATGTTCCCCCCCACCCCAAGCTTTGTTGAGATGTGATGGAGATATAATATTGTATCAATTTCAGCTATACAGTGTAGTTATCTTATATATGTAAATATTGGGAAATGATTACAATAAGGTTAACAGATCATCACCTCACACAGTTGCAATTCTGTGTGTGTGTGTGTGTGTGTGGTGAGAACTTTGAAAATCTCTCTTAGCAACCTTCAGATAGACAACCCAGTGTTGTTAGCTATAGTCACCATGCTGTACCTTGCATCTAGCCACTTAGTGTTTATACAGGAATGGTTTTTGACTCAACTCTCCTGGCTACTCAAACGGACCTGGTACAAGGCAGATCTGTGAGATGTGCTACTCAGAGTTGGGTCAGCATTTGAATGCCTGAATGGAAAAATGCCAGAGAGCTATAAGAAGTAGGAAAATATGGAAAGCGTGCAAAAATGCGAATCTAACTTCTGCTTTATGTTTTTAACCTATGTATTTCTTGGTATGAATCATGACAAAGACTGAAAATAGAGAGGCAGGTTAAGTTGGTTTGTTAACCACTTAATGAAACACTTGTAGGAACTGCAGGTGTCTGAAGGTTAGAGCCCAAATCTGATGGAAGGGGGATGAGAACCCATGAAAAAGCAGCGAGAGAAAGAAGGCAGTGTTTAATCAAGTGCTAAGTCCATTGCCATGCTCTGCGGGTGCTGGAGCAGGAGAGATGAGAGTGAGGGGCAGTGGTGTGGAAGGACTCGGTCACACCCTGAAAGAGGGCTCGCTGGCCCAAGAGAGAGATGACAATTCCTGGTGACATTTGTCCAATTTTCCTCACTCTTTCTTGCTGGCAGGACACATTTCAGATTTTTACCCACTTCTCCAGATTATTTAGAACATTTAAAACACTGGGCACAAACTGCATATTGTTTATATTTTCTCTTCTTATCTCATGCCTATTAATTCCTCAAGAATAGGAATATTTGGTACTTGTGCTATACACACTGTATCTAGATCATGTCATAGCGGACATATGGCATAAAATATGGGTGTAACATCAGTGTCCTCTGTGCGTGCCCAAGGTTTGAGGTAAGGAACCCATGGGTAAAAGACACTTAGATAGAGATGGGAGAGCCTGGGACTAGGTCCAGAGATGGTAACCTTCTGCTGCAGAAATTTACTTTCTAGAAAAAATACAGGAAGCTCTAACCACATCTTCCATACCTAATTAACCATTCTCAGGCACCTCGAATGTGTGGCAACTTAAATACCTGCAAGACCCTTATTCCTTCTGGTCTATAAGCCCAAAGTATAGGTTATATTCAGGACTAAAACTCCACAAGCAAACCTATCTCCACACAGATTATTTCAGGTCAACCCACCCACTCGATCGTTTCGCTTAGTAGGTCTAAACTTGGCACTGAAACAGAGTTGGAGTTTTATGTCAGCATTCTTGTTGAACAAAGTAATTTTTTCTGGTGTGAACAAAGCTTCCACAGATACATCAGCAATACTCTGTGACCTGAAAGACATAAATGGAAACAGATAGGTTACTGCCAAGTGCACATGTTATAACCTTTACCTAGAGGACCCAGGGCCAGCATTATCAAATTATTCTCTGCATGATCTAAGCACTTGGGCAGTATTTCATACTTGAAAGCTCTAAAATGGCAGGTAGGAATAAGGTCTTCTGTGGTTGTGACTGCACTGCCAGCCCAATCCACATTTAATATTTTTTGCTTGTTTGATGCATGCATAAGTGCAGGATGTGAGTCTGCAACCTCTTTGCAAATAAAGTCAAAGTCACGGTCCCTTGTTGCCTATTGCCAACCACAAACAGTGATGTTTGCTCTTCCACAAAGGAAGGGAAGAGAGCAGGTGGCAAGGTGGGAGTGGCATGGCTGATGACCGAGGAGCGAGCGTGGCTGTGGCCGAGGAGCGTGGCCGTGGCTGAGGAGCATGGCCGTGGCTGAGGAGCATGGCCGTGGCCATCTCCCTGTTGCCTCCCTTAATGGCTGGCAGCAATTCTTTGATGTGTGGCATAGGACCATGATATCAGAACTAGCCTGATATCAGAAAATGGCTGGGGAGTCTCTCAGGCAGGGCGCTAAAGACTTCAGACTCTGGCACAGCCCTTGAGATATCTAAAAATCTCTCACATACACATGGCCTCATTTGCCCCTATAACACTCCTGTGAAATAGAATATTGTCTCCCTTTTATTAATGAAAAAGTCTGAAACAAACAAAAAACATTTAGTAACATCAATTTACTGAGTAATAGCTAGCATGTGAGGAGTTAGAGCTCATGATCTCCTAGTTCCTCTGCCTAGTTCCTAGTTCCTTTTGTACTTCAGCATAATGACCCTGTGTGCACACGCTCCGTTATTTACAGAGCAGCCAGTAGTAGTAATTAGTAATTTCACTGTTCTGAGAAGTACCGCAAGAAGATGCAGAAGACATTTTCTCTTTCATCTCAGGTACCATCTGAAGGACTTGAGTCAACTGAAAAATTGTTTCATCAGTTAATCATGTACCTATAGGCCCCCTAATAAGCAGCCATAAAATACCTAACAACCAAGTACACCACGTCCTCAAACCTACAAGATCTAAAATGTCTAAGTGAATGTTTTCTGTAAGTCAATCTCTTTAAGAGAATCTTTTATCCCAGTGGAGATGGTGGCATTGATTGAAATGATTTTGTAAACTTTTTTTTTTTTTTAATTCTCAGGAAGTTACCCAGAAAATCTAGTCTCAGCACCTTATAGGAATGGGACCACAAAATGGCAAGAATCTAGCTTGACTGATCACCTCAATAAATTGACCTGACTCCATGTGTCTTGACTTTTTGAAGAATCAAATCCACCTTTAAATAAAAAAGTTTGGCCATCACTGGCAACATTAACAGGGAGTATCGGGGCGCCTGGCTGGCTCAGTCAGTGGAGCATGTGACTCTTGACCTTGGGGTTGTGGGTTCGAAACCCTTGATGGGTATAGAAATTACTTAAAATCTTTTTTAAAAAAGGAAGTGTCATAGTATAATAATTACATAGGCTATGAAGGATGAAGCCTACCAAGATGGCTGGAGGGTGATGTTCCCTGGAAGGTATTTTTTAAAAAATTTATAAGAAATCATAAGTCCTGTGACTATGTTATCACACCTTGTATTTTTCTAATGCCGTGTTACTCTTAACTGACTTTATTCAGTAAATATATTTTTTTAATGTGTCAGTCTTAAGTATGATCTGTGCATTGTTTTCCTCCCAGGTGAAGTTTTCATTAAAATGATGCACTCAAAACAATGCACTTCATTTTTTAAAAGCACATGTGAAATATTGTAGTTTATGTAATGTTGTTCGGTTCTTGAAGTATTTGGACATTTAAAACACAGTTTTCAACAGAGACAAATGAAATATATTTGGGGGGGACTCTTGATTGAATGCTCAATTTCTTTCTGATTCCAATCCCTGGCCAATCCAATATATTTATATTTGTCCTTGAATCACACAGCTCTTGAATCCCCTATTGCTCCTCCCTGCTCTTCAACTCCTACTGAGGTCAGTGAGAGGTCAGCTAAACCTAAATAATGGCTTCTTGTTTATGACTAATAATTTCAAAAGTTACTTCATAACCACATGAGAAGTTATACTTCACTTGTGTGGTCTGAGTGTTCAGTATTTTTAGAGCATTCTCATAAGGCTTCCTTTCTGTGAGATGAGGTAAGGTTATTTGGAAGATAATATTCAGAAATATCTTAGATACCATTTCAAAGCCTCTGTCTTTTCTATGTCCTTTATCTGCTCACCATATAGAGAAGAGGAACTTGACAGCAATGTTAAATAAATATTTTTCTTCTCCCACAAGGAAAAACACATTTCTTCCTTTGACACATAAACTATGACACATAATTGTCCTGGAGTCTTCTAGAATGCATGTGGTATTTCCACAGTTTCAGCACAGCTATCTGCTCTACTTAACAGGTCATTTTTTTAGTTAGCTAGTCTGTGTCTGGCTCTCAGCTGACTCACCAGAGCTGAACGACTTGCCCAAAGGCACCAACAGACACATCGGTGATAGAATCCCCATTTAAGTCACCATAACCATCCAAAGATCTCCCAAAGTACTGGAGCTGGCTCCTAAAGGCTCCATCGGATCCCAAGATTTTCTGAAAGAGCAAGTTTGACATGAAAGTGTAATGTGTAACAACTGAAATGGGGGGGAAAAAAAGGAGCTTCTATACTGTACTGTTAGATTTTCTATATAGCCACTTCAAGTTGTTTTATTCTCCACACAATCCCACTGATTTTTCAATCACAGCTTTTCTCATCTGTTTATCATGCTTGCAGCCACATTAAAGAAACAGCATGAATCTTTAAACATAAAATCACAAAGCAGCAGACCACTGGGCTGAGCAGGATTTGAAGCGAGCTCAGGTATGATTGCTCTCCTAGACCACGTCTTTTAGGACTTCCCTGGAAAGTTGCCTGATCAATGAGGCCCCCTTGGTCACCCTTTAAACTACCTAATAACTCCCATCCCTTAACATTTAAAATTTTTTTTAAATGCCTTATCATTTATTATGATCTGGAACACTTTATCTCACTTACCTTATTTTCCCCTCTGTCTCCTCCACAAAAAATGTAAGATCCACAAAGAGCAGAATTTTATCTGTCCTGTTCTTTTAAGATTTTATTTATTTATTTGACAAAGGTCGAGAGAGAACACAAGTAGGCAGAGAGGCAGGCAGAGGGAGAGAGAGAGGGAGAAGCAGGCTCCCTGCTGAGGAAGGAGCCTGACACAGGGCTCGATCCCAGAACCCTGGGATTATGACCTGAGCCAAAGGCAACCGCTTAACCGCTGTCACCCACCCAGGCACCCCACCTGTCCTGTTCTTTACAGTATCTCCAGACCCAGGACAGTGCTTGACACAGAGTAGGAGGCTCACTAAATGTTTGCTTAATGAACAAATACAGTTCTAAAATAAGTGGGATGGATCAGATTGTCTGCATGGTACTCTGTCACTCTAACATGATGATACTCACAAGTGAATGCATCACTATGGAACTCCACGGATTACCTGAGAATATCTAATGCGAATGGTGCTCTCGTGACCGTTGTAGATATACACAGCTCCAGAGTTCTGATTTTCCAAAGGTGAACCAACTATTACATCGTTAAAGCCATCCATGTTGATATCTGAAAGAGCTGCAATCGCTGAACCAAACCGAGCATTTTCAACACCCTCAGGGCCTTCAAGAAATTGGTGCCAATTCAAAACGCCCTTGCAAAGGGGAAGAGAGGGATGATTAAAGCAAACCTTCCAACTTTTATCATTAAAATTCACAGCAAATGATGCCCAAACCAATTTGTAAACTGTTAAAAGCAGACAGGATTTCAAACCTAGATTTCAAAATTCTCTATGATGAGAATTATAAATGAGAATTCTAGCAAGTAAGCTCATAGGATGTGTGCTCATAAACCAAAGTGAAAGGAGCAAATTCCCTACTGTGGCTGCACAACCTACATAACACTGCCCATATCTTTGCCTCTTTTCCCCCCTTAATATTAGAATCTTTACCTGTTTCCGAAACTTTTAAAATTTGCTGATGAAAATCTAGTATCTTGCATAAAATTAAGATGGAGACACAACAAAAAACACAGTATCTTATTTTAGACCTTTTGTTAAAAATTACTGAACAGTGGCATAATTATAATGGGACAGGAAGTAGAAAATGATACCATTAGGTTCCAGTTCAAGATGGTAACCCTGAACTCACCCCTTTTCCCTGGAACCCATCAAATTACACCTATTAATAGAACAATTCCTCCTGAAAAACAAAACAAAAAGACAAAAAACAACCGAGGGCTGACTGATCAGCTACTGAACAACCAAAGATAGAGAAAATGGCAAAAGAACACAAAGAGAGGCAGAGACACAGTAACAAAGGAAAACTGATGCTGTGGGGATGCAGAGTATGGTGAGGGCAGGCATAAATTCCTCTGTCCTTGGGCACAGAAAATAAGCCATAATTTAAAAGAGCAATTAGCATCTGAAAGAGACAACACTAGAACTCTGCCACATTGTGGAGGAGCTGCAGGCTAAGCTCTCCAAGTCAGAGGGACTGGAAAATGATGGTTTACATTATTACCATTCCACCTTAAAACTTCGGTCAGAACAGGGTCTGATCAGTAAATGAGCAGGTCTGGTTGTCTCTGTGAGCTCTCAACCTCACTGACCTCAACAAGCCCACGGTCCTCAAGCCCACACCAGTCTCAGTGGTGTGGTGCTGGGACACAGAAAAAAAGCCACAGTTTAAAAGGGCCAAGGAGCAGTGGGAACACTCTCTCCCCCTCCACTTTTAAGGCCCAGACTGGAGCAAGGGTCCAAACACAATCACCGTGGATTTAGATGCCATAACATACAGGTTCCAACCCCATAAATGGTAGGGTTCAGTCATCAGAGGGGGCTTGCAACATCAGCAAGCCCAGGGTCCATCAGCCCATACCAGCCTCTGTGGTGCCAGGGCACAGAAAATAAGCTGTGTAATTTTAGTTCTTTTTGTTTTTCTTGTTTGTTTGTTTTAATTTTTTAATTAAAACAAGTTTTTATTTTTAAATTAAAAACTTTTATTTCCTCCTTTCTTTTTCTTTCAAATTTTATTATTTTCTTTTTTCTGCAAAAAGCCACAGTTTAAATAACTAGCATATACAGCCACAGCTCCAGCCACCAGAAAAGTCACCAAGCACACACAGTCTGCAAAGGGACACCAACCTTCAAGTTTAGGAGCAGTAGCTGTTCTGCCTAATCCACAGAAACAAACACAGAAAGTCAAGCAAAATGTGGAGACAGAGGAATTTGCTCCAAAAGAAAGGGGGAAAAAAAACCCTCAGAAAAACAACTAAATGAAACAGAGATAAGCAACATGCCTGATAAAGAATTTAATAATTGTGAAGATAACAGGGCTGGAGAAAAAAGTGGAATATCTTAGTGAGACTTTCAATAAAGATATAGAAAATATTAAAAAGAAACAATCAGAGTTGAAGAATACAATAACTGAAATAACAGGGAATTAACAGTAGATTAGAGGATGCAGAAGAACATACCAGCAACCTGGATGGCAGGGTAATGGAGAACAACACAAGCTGAACAGCAAAAAGAGAAAAGAATTAAAAAAAAAAAAAAAAAAAAGAAAAGATAGATTAAGAGATCTCATGGATGACAAAATGAACAAACATTTGCATTCTAGGGGTCCCAGAAAAAGAGAGGAAGGTGTAGAAAACTTATTTGAAGAAATAATTGAAAACTTCCCTAATCTAGGGAAGGAAATAGACATCCAAGTCCAAAAAGTACAGAGAGTTCCAAACAAGATGAACCCAAGGAGGTCCACACAATGGCACATAATTAAAATGTCAAAGGTTAAAGATAAAGAGAGAATTTTAAAAGCAGCAAGAAAGGAACAAAAAGTTACTTAGAAAGGAAAATCTATAAGGCAATCAGCTGATTTTTCTGCAGAAACTTTGAGTATATCCTGCCACTTTCTTCTGGCTTGCAAAGTGCTGAAAGGAAAACAAAACAAAACAAAACATACAGCCAAGAATACTCTACCAGACAAGATTATCATCCAGATTTGAAGGAGAGATGAAGAGTTTCCTGGACAAATGAAAGAAAAAGGAGTTCATCACCACTAAAGCAGCCTTACAAGAAAAAATAAAGGGACTTCTTTAAGTGGAAAAGAAATGGCCATAATTAGAGATAAGAAAATTATGAATAAAAAATGTAAAATATGACAACATACACATAAAATGTAGAGAAGGGAGTAAAAAGGGAAGAAAAGGGGAAAAAGAAAAAGCCCCCCCCCCACCTTTGGAATGCCTTTGAACTTAAATGACCATCAAATTAATATAGACTGCTCTTTACTTGGAATGTTCTATGTGAACTTCATAGTAACCACAAGCACAAAACCTATGATAGACACACAAAAAAGAAAGAGGAAGAAAGCTAAATATAACACTATAGAAACTCACCAGTCACAAAGAAGAAGAAAAAGGAATAAAACAACCAGAAAACAAATTTTTAAAATGACAAAAAGTATCAATAATCACTTTACATGTAAATGGCCTAAATGCTCCAACCAAAAGACATAGGGTGACAGTAGATAAAAAAACAAGACCCATCTATATGCTGCCTACAAGAAACTCACACCTCAGACCTAAAGACATATACAGACGGAAAGTGAAGGGATGGAGAAAGATTCACCAAACAAATGGAAGTGAAAAAAAGCTGGGTGTAAGTAGCAATACTTACATCAGACAAAATAGACTTTAAAACAAAGACTGTAACAACAATTATTACATAATGACAAAAGGATCAATCCAACAAGAGGATATAACCATTATAAATATCTATACACTCAACACTGGAGCACCGAAATACATAAAGCAAACATAAATGGACATAAAGAGAGAAATTCATGGTTAGTAGGGGACTTTAACACCCCACTTCTGTCTGGACCATCCAGACAGAAAAATCAATAAGGAAACAATGTCTTTGACCATCTTTGGACCAGATGGACATAACAGATATATATGGAACATTCTATCCCAAAACAGAGTACTCACTCTTTTCAAGCACACATGGAACACTCTCCAGAATAGATTACATACCAGGCCATAAAACAAGCCTCAATAAATTTAAGAAGATTGAAATCATACCATGCATCTTTTCTGATCACAACAGTATGAAACTAAAAATAAGTCACAAGAAAAAAGGAAAAAACACAAACATATGGAGATTACACACCATGATACAGAACAACCAATAGGTTAAAATGAAGCAATCAAAGAAGAAATAAAATACATGAAGATGAATGAAAATGAAAACACAATGGTCCAAAATCTTTGGGATGCAGCAGAAGTGGTTCTAAGAGAGAAGTATACAGTATACAGTGATACAGGCCTACCTCAAGAAATAAGAAAAAAGCTCAAACAATCAAAACTCACACCTAAAGGAACTAGAGAAAGAAGAACAAACAAAACCAAAGGAAACACTAAAGATCAGAGCAGAAATAAAACACCTAGAAACAACAACAACAAAAAAAAAAAAAGAAAAAAAAATCAGTGAAACGGAGTTGGTTCTTTGAAAAGGTAAACAAAATTGACAAACCCTTGGCCACATTCATCAAGGAAAAAAAATGACCCAAATTAAAAAAAAAAAAATCAGAAATGAGAAGAGCTGATACCACAGAAATACAAAGGATTGTAAGTGAATACTATAAAAAATTATATACCAACAAATGGGACAACTTAGATGAAATGGTTAAATTCCTAGAAACATACAGTCTTCCAAAACTGAACCAGGGAGAAATAGAACATCTGAAGAGACCAATTACAAGTGACAAAATTGAATGGCAATCAAAAAAATATCCAAAAAAAAAAAAGAAAAGAAAAGAAAAAGTCCAGGACCAGATGGATTCACAGGGGAATTCTACCAGACACTTAAAGAGTAATACCTATTCTCCTCAAACTATTTCAAACAACAGAAGAGAAAGGGAAGCTTCCAAATACATTCTATGAGGCCAGTATTACCCTGATACCAAAAGCAGGCAAAGACACCACAAAAATAAAACTATAGGCCCGGGGAGGCGGAGCAAGATGGCGGAGGAGTAGGAGACCTGGATTTCGTCTCCCCTCAGGAATTCAGCTGGATAGGGATCAAACCATTCTGAACACCTACAAACTCAACAGGAGATCGAAGAAAAGAAGAGCAACAACTCTCTGAACAGAAAAGCGACCACGTTCTGGAAGGTAGGACGTGGGGAGAAGGGAATCCGAGGCGATATTCGGGAGGATAGACGGCGGGAGAGGGGCCTCCGTCGGCCGCTTCTGGCAAGTGATAGAGCCGCGGAGCACAAAATCGGAACTTTTAGAAGTCTGCTCCGCTGAGGGACGTCACTCTGGTGGCTAAGCGGGAGGTGGAACCCTCCGGGACAGTGTGGTCTCAGGACCCTCGGGGTCACAGAAAGACCGGGGGTGCCTGAGTGTGGCAGAGCTCCCCCAGGTATCGGAGCAGGGAAGCCGGCTGCAAAGACGGAACGGAGGAGTGGGCTCTCCAGCTCGGGGTGGCCATTAACCGTGATCCGCAGCACAGTCGGGCCCCTGCTCCTCCAGCAGGGACCCAACAAGCAGCAGATCCGGGGAGACTCTCCTTCCTCCCCAGGGAGGAGCAGCATGGGAGCGCTCCGCAGGGATCGGCTGGGTTTGGAGACTCCACCCGGGGTCGGG